GTTTGAAGACATGAGACACACTTAACAAGTTAACCCACATTCCTGAGACGAAGCGGAGGTAGTGAAGGCTCACCAAGGCTCCTATTACACGCCCCTCACAGTTCTCCACTCCCACAAGAGCTCCGGCCAACAATACTCGATGAAAAACATTAAAAAAGAGAATATCAACTCATTTACCTGTTGAGTGCAGACGGTGCTGGATATACGAGGTCGGGTAATTTGACAGGAGTAGAGTGGGCGGTGGTCGAGAAAAAACAAGTGCACACTTCTCACTTAAGTGTTTTCTGGCTGTAATGTTAACTTTTCTCCTAAAATTTGGGCGGAAAATAAACTGAATACACTTACAAGTCTCCTATGACACTTCACGTCCAATGTCGTGCCTTATTTTGCTCTTGTCACTCATGGTTCACAGCGAAATGAACTCGAACAGGTGTTCGCACGACAGTTGTGATGTTTGTCAACAAGTGCACTGCGCATGCTCACCAGCTGACTGTGGCGGCAAGTGCCGGTCGCCAAGCGCACCTTCACCCGCCACACTTTCCGGCGCAAACAGTTCAAATTCAAAGACTTTACTCATAATTGTTTGTACATTAATAATTGGGTTAGTTTGCCCAAAAGAAAATCATAATAATAACAACACAATATGTAACATCTGTAATTATATACTATATACTCAAGATTTAGAAACTATACATTTATCAGATTAAAATTCATTACAGTTGACAAATTCAGAATCAGAAACCATGTTTGTTAACAACGTATACAAGTACGTTGTTCTGTATGTTAAAAAACATACAGAAATCGCACTAACGTGATGCATCAAATGATGCTCCCGAACGCAGGTTCGAATCCTCGTCACGGCCCTTGTGGATTCGTTCACTACCTTAAAACTACGTTGTTAAGGGCCGTCACAAGAGCTTACTGACCAAACAGCAGGTACACTAGTCCTGAACACAGCTCAGCGAGCTCTCTGTGCCCCAAACTTTGACAACCAAAGTTTCGGCCAGCCAAAGTTTGGTTGGCCGAAACTCTGTACATATTAGTGGCTTTAGGCATAGTATATACAAGCTCTATCTTGAAATCCAACATTCTACGTGTAACTCAATATGTAACGTTCTTTTTACCTAAATAAATTATTTATTTTTGATTTAAAACGCGGTGCAGAATGCTCAGAGAGTGTGCAAAGTTCTATAACTTCGTGGTATGATTAGTTTATATTAGTTCTACTTCTGTCTCATCCTAATTCTGTGATAAATACCGTGCCAATATATGTCTAGCCGCTCTAATGCTAAATCTTTTTTTTTCCATTATACCGCCTTTCAAATTGTCACCTAAATGTCACTCATTTTAAATCAAACTTTACATTTTTGGTATAGACTGCTGTACACTGTTTAGTCCAGCCTGTATTGTAATGATTCGTTTTAAGTTCTTACAAATAAAATTTCTTATATGAGCGACTTGACAAAGTATACGCGCTATATACTGTTGTTCTGACAGTCTTATATAAATAATGTACTGCATTTGTATATAAATTTTCCCAACTGTAAATGTATAACCATTGTATGTATAAAAAGTGTTTGATATGATTCGATTTACTATATCGTAAATTATTATCAATAATTGCAGTGCACATTTTGAATGCAAGCCGGAATAAACCATATAGCAAACATTTGATCTCGCATTTATAACAATGAACCAATTCAAACTGAAAATATTATACAGAAAATATTACTACAAGTAAGCAACTATAAATTATCTTTCCTAAAATTCCCGGAAACGTGACTATGAAAGATAACATTCCATACAGCTTAATTAACAATTACACAGCAACTGTCGACCAACCCAGAGAGGGGGCGAGCTACGAACATAAACCCGTTAATAAAACTAGAAACATCTATGGAAAATATAGGCTTAAAGTCAAGAAAGTTAACAAATGCGTACTACAGTGACGACACAAATTAATTTAACTATTCTTACAAACTTAAAACGGTAACAAACTCTACAAAAGATTATTCAGTACATACAGGAAATTTGGATACAGTATTGACTTATCAACCGAGACAACCATTAAGTTGATAAGTTCTTCAGGTGAATGAAGTCATTATCCAAGCGTGATGGTTCTCGCTGCGAGGACAACCATCCACAACGACGGTCCCGGGGACACTGACTACTACTCCCCATAACACCCTCACCACATCACCTTATAGTCACTCTCCATTGCCAAAATAAGCACTTGTTCGATAATAAGTAGGTTCGAATCCTCGTTACGGCCCTTGTGGATTTGTTCATAAGTACTTGGTTGAACAGTTCGCCCGTATCTTAAACCGGCTGTTTACACAATAGATAGTAGGATAGTTACGTATGTCTACTGATGGCTTACGTGTTAGTTCGTATTGTCTATTGTTTATATGTTAGTTGGGATTATTTACGTCTGGTTTGTATTTTTAGTTGATAACACTTTATTTGAATACCGGACAAGGGCGTCATCGTATTGGTATTTCAGCACTGAAAATAGATATTGTTACTGAGGAAATCCTGAGAAATAACAAATGTTCACAGCGCTGACATTAGTGTTCATGAAAAGATAAAACTTCCAAAGGAAACCGTTTCTATAGATATACACAATTTGTGTGTATTTGTTTCAATATATACACACGAGAGAATTATATGTTATAATTCATTTTCTCCAGGAATAGGCAGCCATTGCCTACTAACAGGCAGGGATAGGCCGCTATCATATTTAACCAAATATATATACTGTATTTACTTGGTTAAATATGATCGCATTACTGGAGTTGTTGATCTTAAAGTATAAGCTTTCTATGCTTCCATTTTCTTACTCTCGGGATTAAGAAGAGCAATCAAGTTGCCGAACTTGATTGCTTGATTCACGGTAAAGAAACTAATGATTATTGAAGGGTATATTTTCTACAACGTTTCGTTCCACTCTGGAATATCTTCAGGTAAGGAACGAATACACAAGGTGCAAAGTTATCTCAAATACACATGTAAAAGAAGTGAAGTTGTGGCGGGGGGGGGGGGGGGGGGAAGGTTAAGTAATCACACATAGGTGAAGAAATAGGGATATAATGGGGATGGATGCCAATCAAACACTGAGTAAGGCAGTGGGCACCATATCTGGTGCTGTATGCGAGGTCTGGGTCTGAGCGTAGGCAAGGTATCAAAGTCGTTATTCTGTATATTTAGGGTGGCTTTTTTTCTTTTATGAGTATGGCTTCCAATATTTGCAGTCTTCTCTGTTCAGTAGTGGATGCAAAGATTGTTGTATTGTTTATTAGGAGGTTCCTAGTGAGTGTTGTTATGTACACTTTGCATATGGTTTCTGGGGGCACCAGCTTGTAGATGACAGATCAGTCTTCTCAAAAACCTTGTGGTGATCATAGCAACATAAGTAGATCAACTTATCTACTAGTATATAAACACTAGGAAGGGGATCCCACTACAGTGAGTCTCTCTTCTGTCATCTCATTTTCACTATGACCCCCTCTTCCCATTTCCCTGAACATCCTTCCATTCCATCCTCTCTCCAAATCTCCACCAGTCTTCCCCCCTCCCTTCTCTCCCACTGCTTCAGAAGAGAAGAAATCTATAGGACTTGGCCAGCTACTTTTCACGTATTAGGTGGGTGGGTCACAAGCTGGTCTATCCCCCTCTTAATAGCATCAATGCCAATCAACCTTTGTCCATCCTGTGCCCCAGACCACTCACCCTGCAAAGTCAAGCAAGTTTGCCCCAAGCATCTGGTTTCCAACCTTGGACAAAGATATTCTCGTATAGACATAGATATACTAGTGGGGGGTACCCCACATTAACCCCTCTTTCCTGTTTTCCCCCTCAAATCTTAAAAAAAAAAAAAAGACATTTCCATTTATATATATATATATATATATATAAGGGGTAACCAGCAGCACCCAGGTCTCTTCCCTACTCTTCACCTTCTCTCAGATAATTTATTAAGTGGTGCTGTAGGGTATTAAAAGTATCAACACAAGACAGAACATGAACAAATAGGTATAAACTGGACAAGTTTAGATTTTGGAAAGAATATAACAAAGATAACTGCAGAAGGCCTATTGCCCCATATAAGGCACCTCCTATTTATAATCACCCATCCCACTCATATACATGTCCAAAATGTTTATGACCTGGGTAAATACTGGTTCGGTAACAGGGTTGTTGATTTGTGGAACCAGTTGCCATGTGGCATGGTGGTGGGGTGCCTTGATTGTTTCAAGCGTGGGTTGGACTTGTATACGAGTGGGATCGAGTGGTTATATATAGGAGCTGCCTCGTAAGGGGCCAATAGGCCTTCTGCAGTTACCTTTATTCTTATGATCTGGAAACAACAGTATGAATCTCTCATATTTGCTCTTTTCTTTTTTCTCATTTTCCTTTTGTTCAATTTTTTCTTTTCTCTCTTTTCCCACCCTTGTCTTCCCTCTTCTCTCAGAAAATGTATTATTAAGCACAGAAACAACTTTATGGGTATTTAAAGAAAATATATTAGGATATTATTAGTATATCAACAAACTACGTTACCTAGAGCAAAGCTCGAAAGAATTCAAGTGTACAAAAACTCAAATATTTTAACCTTTAACTAAGTCCAAATTTGGTATTTATCCTCAGTATTTAATGGAATGAAAGCAATCATGTGGAGCATGATTTTTTCTAACCAAATTTTCACCTTAGAAACCTGGACTCTGCTATTATCCCACCTAACATCCAAGTATCCCTACGAAGTCTACAGCCTGTAGTACTGTATATCTTAGTGTTCTAGTTTTGTAACTAATCCTCTTGTGTAATTACCTATAGACATCAAGCCAGGAAAAATATTTAGCACCATTTGTGTCGCAGGATTTCCCTGTTTAATATATATATATATATATATATATATATATATATATATATATATATATATATATATATATATATATATATATATATATATATAATCGTGAATGGGAATTAAAAGAACTATACATTTTAATATTCTTTCATATCCTTCAAGGACAAATAACAAGTCATATAAAAATCTTTTCTTCTTTTGCTATATTATAATATTCATATTTCTTTTGTAAAATGAAAAATTAAATACATCCTTTTTTAAAAGTTATAAAATTCCTCCATAAATGAATTAAGACCTACAATAGCATTTTTGTTACATGTAAAAATAATGTATCTTTGCTAATAAAAAATGATTTGTGAACACTGACATGTTGTAACTACAAATTACACAAAATCCTTTTATAATTCTGGAACACTATGATGGTCATTTAATATAGACAAAAAGATACAGCCAATATAATCTTATTATAAAAGGATATCTTCAAAATCAAATTATGACAACCACCATTTACCTAATTTATAAATGACATCCCTGAATTTGTCTCTTGTTGATTACTGGCTTTGAAAACTCAAAAGCTATTGGTATTAAATCATTTTGGATTATCTTCAATTTGTACTGTTTCTACCTAACCGAGCAGACTCTCAAGGTCAGCACCCATCTGGCTAAGGTCACCCTCACCATCGCTCTCGCCATCCTCACTGTCATCACTCGGCAGACCTCCACCTTGTCTGAATACAACACTAGGTAGCTCATCATCATCATCATTGTCCATATCCTCTTCTTCATCTGCATTTATATTATTGTCTTTGTCAACTCCTTTACGCTTTTTTCTGTTCGGACCTGCCTCATGTCCCTCATCTTCATCTTCATCAGAGGATGATGATTCATCACCCGAGATGTCTCCTGCATCTTCATCTGAGTCATCTTCAAGAAACATGAAAATTAGAAAGACAATTTTAGACGCATATCTCAGGCACAAATACTGTAATTGTGCCAGAAAGTAGAATGTTTGAGTAATTTGTGTAACACACAACTGAATTGTTTGTGTAAATGCATCGCTCACATACAAAGGCATATTGCATATGACTTGTTTAGCAAAAAAACCTAAGGGTTTTCAAAACGTGCATCTTTCCCCTGTTGTCTGTAAGGCTCAGTGCATTGCTTTGATGTCTAGAGTATTATTTGCTGAGCAAAAACAACTATTTCAAACTGAGAAAATGGGACACGAAGAAATAGGTTGAAGATGGAAATGTTTGTACCTTGTATGTATAGTAAAAAAATAAAATGAACTGAAAGAAATCAAGGAAGCCAAATCCATCCAAAACTGTAAGGCCAGATATGACACTGCAAGGTGAGAAAAAGAGAAGGGATGGAAGGTAGGCGGGAGAGAGAAAGAGGGTAGGAGAAAGATGACACGATTTGGAACACTTGCCTTGTGACTAGGAACAGTCTCCTGGCGATATAAAGTGTGCCAAAGGAAGCAGGGAAGACTACCAGTATCAAGAAAGACTGCGAATAGTATGGAAAGCTGCAAGCAGCACCAACACATTCAAAACTAACTCCCTGCAGCACATAAATTGGACAATCAAACTGAACAAACCTTTGAGTGGGAAGGTCAGGTATGAGAGACTGCATATACAGCTAGCAAACATTATATTTTGTTAAAATATAAATAAGGGAGGGGCATAAGCAGCCAATGACAAGACAAAAGACACAATGCTACTCTTAGCATACACCCAGCATCAAGCTGGGTGGTATCACCTCCCACTGGAGTGGGAATAGAACACACACACATATGCATGCACAAGCTAACTATAAGCCTCCCATTCAACACATCTCGCTCTGCAATCAAGTCCCAAAACACTCACCAAGGCAGGATCAACTCGGAAGAAGTCCTCCCGAAGCAGGAATAGGACCCCATCAAAGTAGAGACCTCTGGCATGGGCCTCTTCTCCAACAGTTCCAGGGAATGGAAACCTTATTCACAGTTGAGGTGATCGGTGATAGCAACAGACATGCAAGGTGAACAGTACACAAGCTTGTGAAACAAAAATAGGTCCCAACACTGGATATGTTGATGTTCAAATGAAAACTGAACAGTTAGCTTTCTACGTAGCAATTTTGACTTTGCGAGCACAAGATGCAACCATCCTATTAGGTTCTTGCAAGCCTAGAGATGGGTGGATTCCTCACTTGAACTAGTAGTGGACCCAGCTGCCACATAGTGTCAGAAGCGGAAGACATTTGATATGCTAATTGGCTTATTGCCAGTTGTTTGATAGTTTGGCACTGAATACTGTAATTATGGGAGGTTTGCCTTCATTGATCCCTTGGTGCACCCCACCACAAAGAAAGCAAGAGGTTTGTGTCTCACAGTGTCTCGCAAGCTAAAGTAGCCAGTCTTGTCTAGACCAAAGCATAAGCAGAGCTAGTGAAGGGGCTACCTAAAATATTAAGTCTCTCAAAACCCTAAGGCATCTTTACCAGAAATACCCAATGAAAATTATATGGTAACCCTATTGGGGAGTCTTGATTACTTGATAGTACACTATTTTTTTTTTATTTCAACAGAAATATTTCAGAAATCAACAGAAACAGAAAGTACTATCATCAATTTCCACATCAGAGTAAGCAGTCGATAAAATGGAAAGCTAAAGGAATGTAAACTGCAGCTTACCATCATCTTCATCACTGAGAATTTGCTCCACCTCATCAGCCATGTTATTCTTCTCATCAGGGCTAAAGAACATCAGAGGATTTACATCTTGCAAAAGTGTTCCACTGGCTGTTCTGGTTCTGCCGCTTGGGCCTGGGTTTGTCTGCTCTACAAAGATAATGTTATATAAATAACTAGTGGGCTAGAATAGATTCCTAAGCCCAGTTTCATAATGACAATACCTAACAGGGTAGACAAGGCTGTTATTTGCATATTTTCAAACAAGACAAATTTCATGCAATAAAACATTTTCTAACAATTATTTTCATAGTTTGATGCTTAAACTGTATGAATGCATTCCTGGGTTGGTATATCTTACCCAATGAACAAGGAAGTGTAATTAGTACAGAAGGTATAACGAGGTCAAAGAGTGTAAGGCATATAGGCCAGTGTCATGTTCACAAGGTGGTGAAATAATCATGTTGGTTGTTGCAGTGGTGATTGTAGGGGTAGTAGTTGTAATGATTCCGCTGATGTTGGTTGTAGTAATGGTGGTTTTAATGGCAGTACACAAGATCATAAGAATAGAGGAAATGGCTCCCATAGAATCTTGTGGCTACCTTGTGTAGCTTCTGGGGATCAACGGCCTCCCTGCGACCTGCTCTCCAACCAGGCCTTCCGGTTGGTTGGCAGAAAATTTATTGGCCCATGCACGTCTGCTAATACTTATACTCGACCAAACTCAAACACGGCCATTCTCTAGCTGGTATCTGGTAACTATACCCTTATGTAGGCTCAGGATCCTACATTCATGAGCAATACAATACATCTGCCGAGCTTTCATCAACATGCGATATTTATCTATATAGGAGCAATTTTAAGTCTTTTTAATTTATTTCCTGCCCTATTTTTGCATCACCTGCAAATTTGCACGTGTTGCTGTTTGATCCTGTGACTATATAGATTATATAAATGATAAACAACAGAGGTGTCAGGACAGAGCCCTGAGGCACTGCCACCGACTTAGCTCCATTTATGGCAACCCTTTCTTTCATTTGAAATAACCATGCCCTAATAGGATAACCTACCCAATCCCATGTATCTCAACCTTTTTGATGAGATTTTGAGGTGCAACATCAAGGGCTTTGCTATAGTCAAAGAATACACTGTCAAATTTTTCCACTATCAACTACTTGAAATAAGTTGGAAAAAAGTTGAGTCAATTTGGTAAACAGGAGCAACACTTTGTAAAACACTATTGCAAATCACTTATTATCGTCCTTAAAAATGTAAGCAAAACGGCTTTTGCAATCATCGATTCAAGCAACTTTCCTACAATAGATGCTAAGATAACTGGCTGATAGTTTGACAAGTGATAAAATCTTCAGAAAAAAAAATAGGAAGGTACACAAACTACTTACTAGCTAAAAAATCAATTTCAAGTGCAGAAAGCAGAAAAATGGTGGTTAAGAGGTCAAGAAGGTACACAGATGAATGCTTCAGAAAATTTATTAAATAAAAAAATATAAGGGTAACTATAAAACTAATAAAATGTGCACCATGTACCTGCCTCCTAAGAATTCCCTCCCTTCTCTTGCTCTTAAACACACACATTATTTTGCATCACTGCCATCACCCATTAATTTCAGAAAACAATAATTCAATGATGCTTGGAAAATATAAAACATTAATTATTGAAAAAAATATAAAAAATTAAATGGGTGAATTTTCTTTTTTAATCTTCTCACCTGTAAGAGAGTTATGCTTTAGCCAGGAAGGATCAGGAAAGAAGCAGTGGTGCGGTGGAAGACGATGGATTTCCTTCTCTGTCTCCTTGCTCAGAGGAAATAGTTTCTCTTCAACTAGTTCCCACCTCTCAGCACATTTCCACAACCAGTTTGGAGTCACAATCTGTATAATGAAGAAGTAAATATTTGTCATCTACAAAAGATATTACATTTTATTAATTTATTCCAAATAAAATACTGTCAATTATCAACCAAAAAACTTTATACTGTATATCACATCTTTTATAATTAAATATCAACACAACTTCCTGCAGATTGTACAATGGCAACATTAATGTCATATACACTTTTGCTGGCTTCCTTCTTTATTCTTAATCTTGGAATACTTAATTTCTTTCACTACGTAAGTGAAAAAATATTTACGTAAGTAAATATTTTTTTTATTAATTTCTACATATACCACATAACTCTCAACTTTTAAATTGATTATTCCACTGTAGTGCTTAATATACTAGGGTACATTAATTTTTTACAATTCAATATTTAAAAAAATTTCCTATTATGCATAGCATTTCATAAAATACCTGCATAATTAAAATTAACTTTACATGTAGATTATATATTAGTCAATTTTTCAGTTAATTTCCATAGCATTTCACCGATAAATGCCTTTATTAGTACATTGCTTCATATGAGATTGGTGCCTTTAGTCAAGATATCTTGTAGGTTGACCAGACCACACATTAGAAGGTGAAGGGACGACGACGTTTCAGTCTGTCCTGGACCATTCTCAAGTCGACCAATCGACTTGAGAATGGACCAGGACGGGCCGAAACGTCATCGTCCCTTCACCTTCTAGTGTGTGGTCTTGTCAACATACTTTAGCCATGTTATTGTGACTCATCGCCTGCATATCTTGTAGGTATTGGGATCCAAGTAAATTGCACTGCCTCCAATTTTGCAGCAATACAATATCCACTTACAAACATTCTAGATTAGTATGTGGGTAAGATGTATTGCTCAATGGAAATTAATGTGCTCTGGGAGTATATAACAAAGCTTGTTTTATGGGTGGGTTTTTAAAAAGGGTTATGGCTTGTATTATTGGCATGCCTTGCTGTAGGCTAACTACAGACAACATGGAGAGGAGATCATCTCTACACTCTTCTGGTATTACTGCACATCCTACATTCCTTTACTTTCCTCCTATGTTTAGAAAGTAATAGTAGTAGGCATCCAACAGTCTCAATAAACTATGGAGTTGCGCCTTGATTGTCGGTCTGGAGTGGCTTCTCTAGGGTGCAAAGCCAGGGTAGGTTGGATACTGGGGAGAAGCTGTCATCCATGCGGCAGGTCCCCCCTCTCTCCATGGTGCCGAAAGTCTCCAATGGAAATGGAGATGCCAATACGGTTGGTTCCAGTGCCGTCGCAGGAACTGCCAGAACGAGGTTGAAGGCAATCAAAACTGCACTAGGGGCTCCAGTTCTGAAGTTTACCTCCTAGTTGGTAAAAGAAGGTACAGGGACTCCAAACCCGAAGACCGCCATGGTAGGGGCTGGAAAAGAACAACCACAGCTTTTTGTAGCAGAGCTGGGGCCGCACAAGCCCCAGAGGTGGACATCCGAGCCCCGTACCTACAGGTTCCAGACAGAGATTGTCAGAGGCCCCCTTTCACCTGAGGCCAGCTTCCTTCAAGACCCAGAAGGAAGAGTAATAATTATTAATTACAACAATTATTATTTTTAAAATAATATAATAATTATTATTCTTCCTTCTGCTGATAGTAAGAGTGCTATCTGCATATCAGAATTAATATTATCAGCTTTTTCATTACTCATGCCTCAAATATTCAGCTCTCCCTGCCTGCTGTACACCCTTGACACCATCTTCCCTCTGGCAAGGAAATACACACAATTTTGTTTTCCATATCCTTGATTTTACTTGCACATCAGATCACATGAAAAGTATGCAATTTGTTCTGCCATTTATGCAATGCACAAAATATTTTTCATGTTTCTTGTATACTTAGTATACCTACTGCCAAATTTTAAATTTACAATGTATTGCACGTTTCAGAAAACCTGCTACTGGTGTATCACCTGCTAGCCTGATTATAAGTTGTTATAGTTACAAAATTAAGAACAAACAACGCATTTTAGTATCTAATAATATGGAAGTACAAAAATAAATTTTCATTTACTAATAAACAATTGAAAGTTTTTAATAGACCCATTGAAGAATAAACTGAACTTAAAAAAAGCTAACATGTCAATTTATATGCTAAATACCAATCTCTAAACCTACAATATAAAATGCAGCAGCACAGTACAGTACATTATAAGCAAAGGATGTTACTTACATGGATTAGAGATCAAGCAAAGACAAACAAGTGATAATTACTTTTTGACCACCTGCAACAAATTCTTCCTCATAGTATGATCTTGCAAATAGTAAAAAGTTTCAGAAAAAATATTAAGTTATCAGTGCAAAATGACCAGAAATGTCTAAGTTCTCTCTCTAAATGCAACTTTCATAGATTTACTTGACTATAAATTAACTGAAGGAAGCATTTTATACTTAACTCTAATTCCATAGCACAGAAATTCTTAAATCTTCAACAGTGAGTTTACTTGTTGTTTTACCTCTTAAGATCTCAACATTTTCTTCAAATATAACTGCACAAAAATAACCTCTTACCCTACCTTTAGTAAAGATTTATGCTTTCGAGCAGAAGTTACTTTCTCTGTGCGCCGGTTTGCCGCAACCATGTGAGTTGTATACATATTCTTTTCATCTTCAGTATCACTTTTATCTTTCAGAATTATTTTTTCAGTTACATTTGCTCCGAAGCTTGTGGCAATAAAATAAGCTTTGGATTCTTGCAACTTTGTTTGCTGTGGAACAACTCCCGAGAATACAATATTCACACCTTTCAAAACTTCTCTGCGAACTGAAGGAACAATTACTTTCAAGTCAGGTAGAGGATTATCTTCATTGGAATTACACTGTTCTTGAGATGCATCATATTCCATGAAAAATCTTTTGTGAATTTTTATTAAGATATCTTCCAAGTACAACAAATAGTCATCACTGTCTGAAACATCAAATACGTTATCATCACTTCTCTTTGACCGACTGGAATTTTTCCCGTATGTTCGCTTACTGCCTTCCACTTCAGCTTCTTTTCTGCTCAACTCTTTCTTAGTAACTGCATCTTTTTCAGTAATTTTCTTATTTCTTTTATCAACCTCTTTTGATTTCACCTCTTCATTATCAGTATTCTCCATTTCACTATTTGGCTTTGGATCAATATGGTCTGTCTTCGTATTAGCATCATCTCCAACTCTATCGTCACTTAAATTACTCTCTGCCAGGGAATCGGGTAACAAAGTACTTTCTGAACTGTTTTCCTCTTTAGTACAGTTGTTGTCCGACAATTTATTAACTTTTTCATCATTTCCATTAGTCTCTTTTATATCATGATTAATAACTGCATCAATTTTATCTTGATTGGAGTTTACACTATTATTATCTGAAGCTTCAGTTAACATTTCTTTGGAATCCTTATCGCTGTCGGAATCTGAACTGTAGTTTTTGTCTTCGTCAACACCTTCCAAAGCCTGAGCATCATCTTCAGTTGGAAATTCTGTGAAAAGAAACCCATTATCAAACATCAACACCTGTTTCAAAGTACAGTATAATGTTTATCTCGGCTAAGGTGAGTAGGCACACATCATTATTATTATTATTACCCTACTTTCACTTTCCCTGTCTGGATGATGGAGCATTGGCACAGAGAAGATAAATAAGAGAGCAGAACAAAACAAAATGAATAAATATATGGCACTGAAGGAAATTAAATGTCTACACATGTATAGGCTCACCAATGCACATTCCACCCACCAGACTTAACAAATCACTTCAAATTAAAACTGAAATCAAATAACATCAATTATTGCTCTACTACCTACAGACTGGATAATCAGATGCTAATGCTATCACGACCATCACCTTCTGAACTTGGTGCCTTCTTTTGACGATTACTTCTGAGCAAAGGCTCATTTTTATTCATTCAACAGATGAAACATTTACCTTGTAAAAACAAAGGAAGACTGGACTTAGCTGAGCAGGTGGAAGAAATCTGCTGGCCAAATAGGAATCAGATAGAAGAAAAGCAGCCCAGGTCAACACACCACCACCTGGGATGCAGGTGATTTGACAGGTACCTGGTGACAAATCAACAGCGTAACCACTAGAACCAACCAGTCCATTTTGAAAGTGTCATCTGGCATGTTGACAGTGAAGTCAAACTATTAGGTTGAGACCAAAAGGTATAAGTGTATTCAATCCAAAGCCCTTGATGGATTGAAAGAAACCAAAGGCACCTTCGAGTTACAAAAAAAAAAATAAAATAAAAGTCAAGGCTCACTCAGCAACCTGGCAAACCCCAGACACCGTGGTCATCTGGAATCGACTCACAACAAATTGAAGATCAACAGGGCTTGGGAGAACATTTTATGGCCACTGGGTCTAATGCTGCCCATAGGAATGGGGTAACATAAATCCCACCCTAATTCAATATTTGGCTCATGGTCACATAAAAATAAGAGTATGTCTGTCCCAGGAACAGATACTGGCCATGGAACCACACCCATGTTTAACCCACACTAGTCTTTCTTGGTAACAATTTAATTAGCATAAAGGAGAGAAGCCAGACACACCTGGACAAACTACAGCAACTACGTTGTCCATGAGGCTGAGCAGCCCAGGGCTGTCCATGCCTTCCATGAGAGCCAGGCAGGATGGACATGAACAGAAAACCCGATTCGTGCATTCATACCCTTCTCAGGTAAAAGGTAGACAATTTTGTTGGCAATAGCCAACAAAATTGTACCCCAGGGAGACTACTTCTTATAAAGATGTACAAAAAAAGTTCTGAGATGACAAAAATCTGACCACATCTGCCAGATGAGACTAATTCTTAAGGTACACCATGAAAACAAGTAATATGAGCCCAGAATTTTAAGCTATATTCATTATAGAAGCACTGAGGATTGAGGAAATGTTGCAGACCACTACAAATAATTGGTGTGAGCATAACAATAAGGAGTACAGTCTATACAACTTTCACATTTATAGCAATCATTCCATGGATGATTAAAGTCAACTGGCTTAACAGCACAGTTCATAGCACTAAAATCTATAATTACAAATGGTACATAATGAAATACTTTTTCCTGAAAAAAATCTTTTCAATCATAACCAAAAAATTTAGCACATCTTGCTCTGATTTTTCTCTTAAACACTAGGAACAATATTAGGGTCAATGAATTCCGAGACTTAGGTTGTCTTACCAACAGTTTTAATATTTTCATTTTTCAATTTGATAAAGTCTATTCCTTCACGGTCATCATTTTCTTTCTTCTGTAATCCTTGTGGTGCATTTATATCACCAGTGTGTCGGAAGAAATGATAGGGAACCACCTGGACAACGTTAGGAGAGTAATTCCACACATCTGTGCGGTCATCGATGATACAAACAAGGTTATCCCCACATGGAAAGAGAGAGCTGCAAATAAACAAATAAAATAATATTAGTCAAAATTACAGACAAAATTTAGTCAATTTTAATTCTGATACTGTACTTAATTCTTGTAAGCATTTTATCCCTTTTATTTGTCAAAAACCTATAAATTTTTTCCCAACTTAAGGCAGATATGTACAGGTAAAGTAATCACAATACTCTGATCATCCAATCCATATAGGGTATCAATACCTATAGGATATATTATTAATAGTAAATTATGCTATGACAGTTCATTACTGCCAAGGTTACTCCAGTCATGTGAAGGACAGGTATACATCTGGAAGAAACTGGAAAGCAAACAGCAAAAGAACCCAGATACACAAATATCAAGCTACAAATATAGAAAATTCTTTCCCAAGATAGATACAATGAGGCTCTCGAAGGCAAGATTACTACTAGTCCCACTGGACAGGTAACCCATCCTTTCAATTAGTATGTTTTATTGTGTATGTTACCAGAGGAGGCATAAAGATGTTAAAGAAGAAGTACCACCACTACCACCACCTCTTCCCCAAAGATAAGGCAATAAATCAATCCTAAAAACTCTCAGCGATTTAACATAGTATTATAAATATGCATACATACATGTAAACAGATTGACAAATGAAATAAGTCCTATTAATATTTACAAAAATAAACAAATATTAGTGACAGCAGAGTCTTGATTATCCATGACAATTTGTTTGAGAGGTGTCTTAGCATTCAATAACCTTTGTTATTTATACAGCACATCTATCACTACAGGTACTGTAAATATTCCCAATATGTACATAACAATATTCATTATACCAAATTATGTAAATTACATATTTCAATTGTATATTTAGTCACACACATAGTGTGCATAATGTACAAAACATGTATTTAAATACACCTACAATTATATACATACCACTAAACAAAAAAAAATATGACCTAACTCACACATGTAATAAAATGAAAACACTTCAATCCATCCAGGACACACTTCAAGTAGCAACTTGACAAAGGTCCGGGACAGACCGAAAGGTTATCACTTATTTTATGTCATGCGTGTGGGTTGGGATATTTGTCTCAGCCAAGTTATTATGATATTCTCTGCATGTAAACATATTTTGTATAATCAAAGCATTCAGGCAACAATGTGGCAAGTCTCACTCTGGGCATCTTTATGTTTCCATCAATAGCTGGCAATTTACTTTAATATAACAAACTGGCAATCATTATGAGGAATGTATGAAAAACACGTGGCAACTTGGGCAAAGGGCAAGTTTCCCCTCTACCACATTTTTACAGAGAAAATATATCAAATTTACCACAATCATTGTAAAAGGATTGGGCTGAGTGTCCTCCCAAAATTTCTTCCCACTAAAGAAATAAGATTTTTTTTCTGTTAGTGTTGCATCTATAATATTCTTTCACAATATAAATTCCCTTTTTCTCTGGGATGATGCCTCTCCACTCCAGGAAATTGTGAAATGATGCAATAATAAATGAATGAATAAACAAAAATTTAATTAATGACTTAAAAGAATGGACAACACTTGAGCAAAAACAATGAGAATAGGCAGAAACAACAGAAATTGCTGTTCAAGAATCAAGAGTGACTCAGCCTGTTCAGAGTTACTACTCTCTCTCTACTACTAAGCGACATAAACTCTGGGTTAATCACCATCTTGAATTATCAAGACTTAACTGTAAAACAAAAATAAAAATATCTTACTCAAGATTAGCCTTTTTGGACATCATATCAAGGCATTCATTTCTGGAAAGGATCCGCTGGCCAAATAACTTCCGATCTGGATCCAAGAAGTGAGCTATGTGATGAGCATATTCCCGCACACCAAATGTACTAATGTGAAGCTCATAATACTTTGATATCTTCTCTAGAAATGTTTTTGTATGTGGCCGCAGTCTAGCATGATACCAAGGGCCACCGTAGTTGATTTGGAAGTGACAAACATCCTGGTAAATTAACAATAATTGTGAACCAAATACTGTACACACCCACTTTTCTTTCACAGTTTTCTTCAAAATCTACCACAGCACAAAATAATGTATACTGTACTTTAAAAAAAAAAAAAATACAGTATACATTTTTTCTGAAAAATCATTCTTCCTTATCAAATAATACTTTTATATGGTGTATGGCATGCCTTTCAGTTTATCCATAAGGTAAAGAGCCTTCTGGCCTCTGGATAGATCTTATGATTAGTCAGGGCAGGTCAACAACCAGCACTGGTACAGTGCTGTTATCTAAGAGAATAGCAAAACCTTGGCCTATGCAAAGAATAGCAACTGAGTAGTACACTTAAGAAACCACTTATCCATTCATCTATTATTTATCAGCATAAATAAGCACCACCTCATTCGAGTAGTCATCCACAACAGCTCCCCCTCCACTTTCAAGGACCATGTATACACTCTCTTAAGTTGTTATGCTCAGTACAAACAAATACCTTAACTCTATCCTTACAGACTGCTTTCATCTAGCCTGGTCTTGCTTCCTCACTCACCTTAACCACCTACGTTCTTCACAGCCTCCTCCTCTACCATGTACTCTCAAATTCACCCAAATACTGTAATATCTCGCACATCTATAGCATTCTGAAGTATTACACATCAATCTCAATCACTGCTAAAACAACTTTCAACTTCATACATAAAACCTGTCCTCATAAGAGTACTTTATTACTCATACTACACCTACAGTATACCAAAGGTTAATACCTTTCTCTAATAGCAGTTTAATCTTGACTTCCCTCATGACCTAATTATACTGTGCAGTATGAGGCCCAAGTAACCAAGGTGACATTATGAAAGCCTAGCATAGACCTACGTTAAGTATCAAACCAGTCACTCATTACATACACTACTGTTATATCTCCACAACTTCATGTAAACAAAACAATTAACAGCATTTAATAGAACCTGGCATCATTTCAGCAATATAAATCCTAGCATGTTTTTTTTAATGCTGTAACTATGTAGTCAATACAAATATTATAATTTGAAAATGAGAAATTTTATGCTTGTCAGCTGATCACTAAAGATTCTTCTGGTTTCATGATATGGAAAAACTCCAATTATGCCATAATAGCTATTAAGAGTATTAGTGGCTTTATTTAATATGCAACCTCAGTACCTACAAATAAACCAATGCAATATTATTCTTAAATGAATCTATTATTATTATTATTATACTGCAATTCATTTTGATTAACTAGTCAACTGGAGTAATTTGTCTTTACATTTTTGGACAGATACTGTATAAATAAAATATTACCTTCAAATCTGCAGGAATATTATCGTTTGTAGTGTGGATCAATGTCTGATCCAGATCCACCAGTAACACCAGCTTCCGCTGCTTCAACAGGTTATTAATGTCTTCTTGTCCAAGTTTTCGGGCCTCCTGATGACATACAAAACATATTATCTTCATAAACTTCACCCAAGTATAATGAGAAAACTTCTACCTGTATCAATTTCACATCATTTTACTTGTACAATATATATAAACCTATATTATTTTAGATACAGTTCAATAACAATAATACAGTTCTTTTGTGAACACTTGATATTTTAAATAGCTCCAGTTCCACACATTATGACAACACTTACATTTCTAGCTACTTTAAGATCAGGTACAGAGTGAAGCATGCTGACTGCTTCTGTCTTTGGGATGTCTTTTTCATCCAGGCAAACACCACAATCACAACAAATATTTCCCATAAGGGCTGTGTGAGTACAGGCTTCAAGTTCCAGTATGTCACACCTAAGAAGCAAAAAGAGGATTATATGATTAAATGTATTACAGAACCTTCAGTTAATTTTGAGATTTTTATTGACTTTTACAGCCTGACTTGTGGATGGGAATCCCAAATTGCCATCACCACCTCTTATCTGGTAACAGCTGCAGAAACTTAAGTTCCTTCTTAAAAACTTCTACTGTTCCGTCTTAAAAACTTCCAGCAATATTATTATGAATCAAACTTCTCTCTCACTGAAGCTCTCATTTTCCTGTCTTTTCCCATGTACACTGTACATTACAAAAAATAAAATCAAAATACATTGTTCTTTCACCATTTTTCATATGCACCTACAAAACTGAGCAATAAGGATTACCTCCCTCTACTCACACTTTATAAAAATCACTATAAAAAATAAACCATTTAACTGAAGCTCTACTTATATACTGTATATAATTCACAAGCATTTTAAATAATTGTTGTGGCTAATGCTGAAAGTACAACTATGCAAGCAGTCTAAAGCTTTACACTCACCCATCTTCAATTGTATCGTCAACTTTGATGAGTACTTGGGTAACAATACCAGAATGCTTGGCTTTAATAATGACTTTTTCCCCAGATTTAGACTCAACCTCACACAGTCGCCTCTTAGGGAAAATATTGGTTCCTTTCTTTGGGTAGATATGAAGAACCTGAAAGATATTCAGTTATGTCTTCAATTAATTAATTAACATAGTGTACATGCATAAGTAAAATGAGCATACATGTACAGTATTGAATAGGGTTTCCCTGAACTCAAATCAATCATACTTGAACTAAGAAGCACTTGAGCAGTTTCATTTTCACAATGACTAATAAATTGTAATCTTAAATGTTCCCTTTTTGAAATAATGTTAAAATTATTAATCTACCTAAGAAATTTCACTTTCACCTATGATTTAGCCAAGAAAACAATCCTTCCAATACATAAGGTCTCAATACAAACAATATTATGAACATTCTTAAACCTCAAAGTGTGGTTATTGTCACATGTTGATTCATGGGGGCAATGCTGTTATTATACAATGAATTATACTATTATTGTTTGGGTTTTATACCAATAATCCTAATATGGATATAATACCTCCATCTATATATAGATGTTGTGGAGTTTACCTTGGCCCATGGAAAAAAAAAACTGCTATGATTCCACAATTGCTTACGATGTAAATGTTACAATGCGGTAATTGTCATGGTATAAAATTCCATTATGTATAATTACAGATACTGTATACCAATTTTCATATGGTTTTCACAACTCTACACAGTCATTCATAATTAAGTACACAGGTCAACCAGTCATCATTTGAACTTAATAATGGAACTTCAGAAGACCTATTGTATGGGTCTATTTGCCCATACTGTACAAAGATATAAATAGGAGCTGCCTCATATCATTATACCAACTATTTGTTTCCTTTAATGTAACCATGCCTGTATCCAACTTAAGATAGCACCCCCAATACTGTGAACCTCTATCTTTTTAGTCTCTCGCGTTGCACTGTATCAAAAGCTGTCGTAAGGTCATGGTACACAACGTCGCAACATTTTCCATTGTCAACTGCCTTAAATATGCTGTAATAGAATGAAAGCAAATTTGTCAAACATAAGTGGCCCTTGGTAAACCATGTTGTGGTTCATTTCTTAATCTATGTTTCTGCGATGTAGACAAATGGCTTTTGCAATTATTGAATTGAGCAACTTTTCCATAACAAACATTCAGCTAATTGGCAATCAGTTTAATTAATGTATGGGCCAAGAGACCTTCTGCAGTTCCCATAATTCTCATGTTTTTTGTGCAAAATCTGGTGTTGACAGATCCGATTAGAAACTATCTGCCAACTCCAACCTTCTACACCTCACCTAATTGGTAAATATGAAGATATTTATGTTATTTCAACTTTCTTACATTTTGCATCCATATTTATCACTCTATAAAAGAAAAAATAGTTTTTATTTATACATTATTTTTCATGTGGGTGGACATGCACGAAAATCCATAGCCACACTTTAGTGGGTCAAAATTAAAAATACCATCCTCCCCCTTCTACACTTTTTACACTGTATTAATTTGACAATTCAGCCCATTCTTACAATGCGCCAAACATTTAATATGATGCTTTTACTAGACCATCCTCCAAAACCATAATACCTGGTGCATATAGCGACCGAGAGGCATATGTACAAAATACGAGCTACTGCACATACATACATAATACACAATTTGTACAACTGAAAAATGTATACTGAAATGTAAGCTGAAAGAAAATAATTATACAGAAATGCAAGACAAAGACATCAACCTAACTTAGGACTAGATCAGGTTATTAGAAACAAAAAACAAAGATAATAATGCTTCTTTTCAGCTTATATCTTGGCATACACGTACAGTATTATACTATACATCATCCATTATAACAAAATGTTGACTGGCTTTTAATGTACTTACTAATAAGTATACAAACATCAACCTGCCTAACTAATTGAAGTTATGCTCATCAATCCCATACAGCATGTACATACCAGTATAGTATTTCCAGTGCTTTTACATCAGTAAAGAGCATTAATTTTATATGGTTGTTGTTTGACCAAACTAACAGTATAGCAAATACAAATCAACCTTAGTTCTGACTGCTGAAGAAAAGTCTTAATTCATTTAAGCGCAACAAAAATGTACGGTTTCTTCAGCCACTTCATAAATTATTATAAAGGCAAACTTAAAAAGCAGATGAACAAATACTTTTTATGGTGTTCCTTTGCAGATTTACAGTACTGTACTCATCAAATTTGTAATTTCTTCCATGATATTTTTACACATACCAATATAAAATGTTAAGCTTAAATTCGTAAATGCTCAGCTTGAATACACTTGGTGTTCAACATTATACTATTGAAGATACAGAAGCATCCACTACCTACTATTTGAACAAAATCTGAATTAAAAGTCCATTATCACACACTGTACAGAATATAGATACAGTACTGTATACTGCATATTATTTAATCACCACATCCAGTATATAAATGGATTGAAGCATCTGTATAGGGTGTCACAGGATTCCCATCACCATTGTACCAGCTCAAATGCTATGTGGAACATCATTCATATTTCTTCTTCACATAAGTTGTCTTAGATTTTTTTCATGACTTGTTTTGAAGGTTATTACATATCACGAATTGTATTTCAATAAGCACCTAAGCCGCTAAAACTGAACACAATCTATTTTAAATAGAAAATCCTACAAATACAGCTTGTTCTGGTAAGACCACTGATTCATAATGAGTACTGTATCGAGACTGAAGATGAACAAAGATCTGCACTTCTACATACAGTACTGTATATATAAGAATGACAAGATATATCAAGCACAAATAGGGGAAAAAAAAAAGAGAGTCTGCTCTAAAATATAATACAGTACTGTACATAATTTTTTCCAAGCAACTACACTCACAAAATAACAAAATATTTCTTGGTTGTCTCCGGGCCAATCGGAATGAAAGTATAATAAGAAAACAAGGATTGACATACCTGGGTTCCTCACGTTTCCATACTCTTCGGTAACATGGAGTTAGGAGCTGGCCTGGGCTCCGGGCCACAGTCTCCCCAAATGCTTTACAGTCAACCTGTAACATTTCCAACTTATAGCATGCCAACCTGTAGCAGTTTTCTGGTCAACCTTATGTGTGTTTACTAGTGAGTTTCATAAAGAAATTAATGCTGAACACGCCTAACATATTTTGTAATTTATGAGGTGAATAAGCAAATCTTAAGAAACAAACATCTCTCCCACGAATTTTTCTTACTACTGTTTAACAGCAAACACTGCCCTAACAACAATAACTACTGTAATATAAACACACAATGAACAGTAGGTTTCACGATGTCACCCCATTTCAACCTTACTCCCAACCTAAACTATCATCCTAACCAAATTTGTCCAAAAAAGTTGGAAATGGGGAAAATCATGTAGACACCTGAATGATATTCATGTTAACTTAAGAGCATATTGTAAGTATACCATGTCAAGGACAGGAAGCTTGCAAATGACTTTCACAGGCTCCCCTAGCCAGGTAATCACTCAACTAGGTACTCAAGACTCAACAATGAGTCTGACTGGGTAAGAGAATAAAATGTCAGGTGTCTGATTTTCAATGGAATGTCCAGTTTTTGGAATGACTTCAGTGAAAAATGAATCGTAAACCCAAACATTATATACCATTGATAAGGACAGGAAGCCTATTACACAAGCAATAGTTTATCAACGTACTTTTAGCCAAGGCCGAGGGAGTGTGCATGGTCACCTATCCAGTGCTGGCCTTAACCTGGCTAACCAAAACACACCCACAATCATCATCCACTAACCACGTGATAGGCATGTGAATTTTATTCAGTATTTTAGAACACCAAGTTTATTTTATGTCTTTTACAATGATAACTAGTATTTTTGATCCCTACAAAAACCCAACTGTTTTCATTGTTCATTCACGGTTTCAAGCATTAAATTTTATACCATACTATTAGAACTACCTGCTGATTCTGCTCCACATGAACACTGTACCAAGAAGAGATACAAGACGAAACTAGAAAAAGCTGTCTTGAGATTCGCCATGCAAACACAACAAAGATCACCTCGTAAGTAATATCAAATCGTTACCACACAAACAGTAAAATACTAAGAGACCGTGCACTGAATTCCAGTAAAAAATTTAGATCACAAAATATTATTAAGAGTAACTGATTAAGAGTACTTAAAATAATTTTACAGGGTCTATAGAACTAATTACATACTAGGACTATACACCTAAATAATAAATTGTTAAGTGAAACTGTTTAAGAAAAGGTATCGAGATATATAAATGACAATATTTTTGTTCTCTACTTCAAAATTTATCAATATGAAATTGATGCACTGAAATTAGTGGCTGTGATCCTAGGGTTAAATACTTCAAGCCCTGCTGTCTTATATATATATTGAGAAAATCTTATTTTCTATTGGAGATAAAGTTGAAAGCGTCGGTCCTCGCACAAGGAAATAATTATCGCTTTGGGTATAAACAGCTAGGAGACAGGGCATCAAGAGCTAGATCTCGTTCCCCCACGCGCACCGATAGGTAAGCACTCTGCTAAACCTTAATAAACATAAGCTAACACAAAATAAAACTAACTGGTCGGAGTGCACAGAAGAGTTTTAGATGGTTCCAATTTATTTCCTTCCCAATCAAATTAATTGTGGTCGTGTGCAGTGTGTGGAGAGAGCAGTTGGCGGCCCTACCGGAGAACTACTACGGGTTGGTGTGCTACAAGATGGAAATTCCATGGGCTGATCTGTACCACTCAAACATCCATATGACCTGGCCATTAGGTCGCTATTAAAGTTGTTCTATCAACACTATCTCTTAAAATTGACCTCCACCATGGAATTAATGGCGCAAGAGTCCACATAAAAACTACTATAGATAAACCAGGTTAGACCCTCTTGCTGGCCCCCCTCGGGGGCCCCCAGCTTGAACACTGGGCCCAAACACTCCATTCTCATGGCCCGTCTTCCATGGTGTCTGTACCTCAAGCCTACCTTATACTCTTGCCCACCGCTTCTCGCTATCTCTGCCGCTCTGAACGTCTCTTTGGTGGGCAACATGTTCGCTACAGCATCGGAAATCAACCCGCCTGAGGTCTTCGTCCTGTTTGTTTTGCTTTGCGTCGCAACGCACCACAAATCCACATAATTGAGAAGTGAAATTTTTCTTGTGCAAACCCATTTTAACTGCCCATGACAATGTCTAAACTCCTAATAATACATATTATTGTCTTCTATTCCGTGTTATTATTGAAAAACACTTAATATACCTACGATAAATATCTTCCAAGATTGGCGCGAACTTTTTTTTATTTTTTGTCTGGCCAGTGGAAGTCCCTGACGATATCCAGGAAGATGTCTGCTGGCGGCTATATTATGCCTTCGAACAGCGCGCCTCTCGCAATGCTCGTTGCAAAAACATAGTGTACCCGTTTCTTTAATTTAATATTAATAAAAAATGATATAGTGTTTAGATACAGGACGTTTATACAGCATGGATAGGCTATTATTCATTTCAGAAAATCTAATGGGGACTGGTCGTTCCGTACACGAGACGTTTCGATAAAGCTCGTTTCCCGTTTGTTAAAATCGTGTATATTGTTGTGCTAGGAAGTAATATTTTAGACTGTACTTAGCTCGATTAGGTTAGATTGTGTTGGGTTCGGTTAGCTTAGATTAGGTTGAGCTTGGTTAAGTTAAGTAGGATTCAAAAATCAGTTGGCGAATCGTCTTGTGTACGATATTACTAACACCTGCGGCAGGTTGGTGCCAGATTGTTCTTTGATTTTATTTAATTCGTTTCGAAATAATAATAATAATAATAATAATAATTATTACTATTAATAATAATTATTATTATTAACACACAGAAATCACATTAACGTGATATATATCAATGAGAAAATCTACGAGGGCAATGAGGTGGACGCGAACCTACGACCTTGGCATTGCCAAGCCGCATATACTTTACCATTAAACCACCAAAACTTGCCGAAAGTCATTCAACAGAATTTCTACAGAAATCACAGGAAGGCTGAAGGCCTTTACTGAACCAAGTCCAGGTTTTACGGTTGACCCGCAAGCACTCGGCTGGCCATTCTACACCAGTACAGTACTGGTGTAGAACAAGAGGACAACAGGTGGAAGTTGGAAACAGAAAAAAAAGCCGAAGAAATAAAAGCAGAGTTACTTGTACTTCATTCCTCCCTGTACCCTACACGAGTGGTCAACAAGTTGAATATACAGTCCACTTGTTGACCACCCTTCTTAAGAGGCGGGACCAAAGAGCCAGAGCTCAACCTCCGCAAGGAGAAGAAGGTGATTACAACTAAGCGAGTACAGTACTTATGTATGTAATACACATATTTATTAAGAAAAAATCCGGAGGAATAATGTAGGGGAGGTGAGGGGACCTTTAAGAAGCCGCCGGCTTACTGTCCCCCATGGAGGCCACTGGAGACGGTGACTGATTGATTGATTAAGCCACCCAAAAGGTGGCACGGGCATGAATAGCCCGTAAGTGGTGGCCCTTTGGATCCATTACCAGTATCAATAGCTGATACTGTGCCAGTATCAATAGCTGATACTGTGCCAGTATCAATAGCTGATACTGTGCCAGTATCAATAGCTGATACTGGTGATCTGTAGAGGTGCGACTACACCCTTCGGAGAGGTCGTGACCTCTGGCCACTGGAGACAGTGACCCTCAGGTAAATACAGGCATAAGAGCTGGTGAAGGAAGCCCCGCCCCGCTCCTGTGCCAGGTAAGTCCGCTACGGGCTCACCATAGCCCGTGCTGCTTGGAACTTATTGTTCTGTGTAGCTTATTATGATTAACATCTTTATTGACAAAATTAATTACAATTATGAATCTAAAACGTGGTGAAGGAAGGAACGTAGTATTAAGCTTTAGTCATTTAAGTTTTTCATGGCCGAAACGCTTTGCGTAATAGTGGCTTTAGGCATTGTATGTACTAGCCCTATCTATAAATGCATGTTGACCAGACCACGCACTAGAAGTTGAAGGGACGACGACGTCTCTTCAACTTCTAGTGTGTGATTTGGTCAACATACTTCAGCCACGTTATTGTGACTCATCGCCTGCATATAAATCCATCATTCTTTGTAAAATCTCTTGTATGTATGTACCTTACCTAAATAAACATTTATTTATTTATTTATTTATTTATTTATAAGGTGGTCGTTTTCTGTGGCGTGGGAGACGGGCGGGCAGACGCTGGCAGCAGCAGCAGGTGCCGCCGTCATGGACCTCCTGCGCTGTGTGGTCATCTTTACAGGTGTGACTGGCCCCTGGGGCACCTGTGGGCGCCGCTGGTTAACTCCTCGGCCCTTAATGGGTCGTTAGCTACTAGTGTGGTGTAGTAGTAGGGGGGTAGTTAGGACGCAGGAATGGCTAGGTGTATTGTTATCGACCGGGACAATGCCTGACTTGTCATGATCTCCCCTGTTTCCTCTTATATATTATTTGTGGTGTTCGGGGGTTTGAGTAGATATATGTATATTATGGATATATGTACATATATCCATAATTGTTTTGATTATGTAGTGTCTTTACCGCGGTAAAAATTGGTGTTCAGATAATCTGCCAATTTATTACTCTAATAAATTTATATTAACTAAATCATTTTAAGTTATGCCCAAAATGCTGTGACTAAGCATTTTAGGCATAACTTAGTAGGTACAATTACTGTACCCACAAAGTAACCTCTGTAGCGTGTTCCTTTGTATATTTATGAATACAAAATGATATTTTAATATCCTGGTAAGACAGACTATGAAGGGACATTACAGACTGGGTACAGTGAGAGCTTACAGGATTTTTTTTTTGACAATGGTTGTTTTCTTATCGTCAAAACTGTACATGTCGTTGGGTTACGATGACCTTATTCCTATACGATGTGATGTGTATCCTCGAGAGACACGTGTGAGAGAGGACCTAACTGGCATGGGATAAGGACCAAACTCGCAGAGTGTAGGACCTGCACAGTGTTGGACCTGCTGCTCGAGGGGCTGACAGGGTCTTGATTTTACATAACGTGCAGGATGTCGTCAGCTTGTATCTTTAATGCTAACAAACGCTAGGTTAAATATGGATTATTTCTGCTATTTTTCCCTATTCCTATGATTTACGTGAGGGTCTTCAATCTCGCTACTGGCCTCAAAGAGGACAGGAAGCCAGAGGCTAGTCAAAGGTCCCCCCTCCCCCCTCCCCTATTTGTTATTTGTCTTGATGCCTTTATCCAGCCAGATTCTGAATTGCAGCAATGTTTTGGTATTTACGTCTTCGGGACGTAGGCAGTTCCATGGCTTTATTACCCTACAGGTAAAAAGTATGGCCTGTTTTCTGACCTATCTTGTTGGTTGTTACGCTTGAAGCCATTTGCTCCTTGTCTGTGTGACATCTGACGTTTTAAAGAAGTTATCTAGATCAGTATCCTCCAAATTTGTTCGGTATTTTAAAATAATGTTTGGCATTAATTACTCGTTTCAGGGGGAATTTGGAGGTGTATTTGGCACATTTTTGACATGTGACCATGTCATCAGTAGGCCTGCTAAAGGCTAGACACAAGTGAACAAATGTGTGCTAGACACACATTCTGAGAAAATAAAGCCTTTTCTACTGTACTTTTACTTCCCTAGTTGGAAATACATTATACAATATATGATTCCATGAAGTTAAGCTATACAGTATATAATATTGTATTAAACATTTAGGATTTTTATGAAATAAATGTTTGCTTACATTTGTTTTTGACCAAAATTGCAAGAAATTAAAACCTCTCTAAATTAACTTGAGCTAAGATTGAAAATTTCATATATTTAAGGTTCAACTTAATTTGTAAGTTTCTCAAGTACTGTATCATATTCTAGTCAGATTTTATTTACTTGAAGGAACAGTTGATTGATAGATTGAGAGAGGACCTTTTTATACTAACATATGCACTAATTTAAATTGAATTGAATACTGTAATTTTTTACAGGGCTATGGATATCTTGACCATTTAAAAAAAGTTATTCAAAGATAAGAGGAGTTTGTATTATTAGTTTTGAATAACCCAATTAATGTTTGCTCTTTGTATTCTAATTATCTATTATCGTCACTGATTTTTATTTGAATAAGATAATAGCGATAGTATTTTCACTCATTCTCTAGTTTTGGTAAATGTGAATGGTGCTTCAAAGGTGCTGGAACTTAGTGATAGGTTCCTGGAACTTCGTGAAGACACGACATGGCTGATCATGGTGAGGAATTGAACTCGTGTTTTACTTACACTGTAATCAGATTTAGCTCATGTACTGTAGGAATCAGATTTAGTAATTACCCAATGCACACTTTTTCGTCTAAATATTGTAACAAGAATACAGCTGTAAGATGAATATAAAGTTTGATTTACATATTTCCATTTTTATTTAAACAGAATTTCCTTAAATTACACAATTTTTAAGTCTAAGCCAGATGTCTGAGCCTTTCTTAATGTAATAGTAATACTGTATATCAAAGATTTTTTTCCTTTTTTCATCCAATTAATTTTGCATTCAATATTTATTAATATATTTTGCCACATTTCATTAATGTTTTCTCTAATCATTAAGTTTATTAACTATTGTGTGAACACTTGTTTCACTTGGTTATCCATTGCTTCATGTTATTAGCTTTTACAGTAAGATATGCTGTAGTATATCTTACCACTTACTGTCTTACAAAATATAATACCCTGCACTGTACCTACAGATTTAAATTTGATGAATAGGAAACTTAACAATGAAGTCTTAGTACATTATAGGTATTTTATTTTTCTCTTTAGTTTTATGCCCCATGGTGTGGTCATTGCAAAAAGCTTGAGCCAGTGTGGAATCATGTTGCTCATGCTCTGTATGGTACTGATATAAGAGTTGGACGTGTGGATTGCACCCGTTTCACTGCAGTAGCGACAGAGTTTGTCATCAAAGGGTTCCCAACAATAATGTAGTGAGTATCGTGTGCACAAATTTTACTTTGCCTTTAAATATTGGGGGATGAGAGGACTTGTCTAGTAAATTAATGACTGTAACTTTAATTTCTTATATTCACTGTGTACTTGATGTCAGTTACTGTCATATCTGTATTAATGACAACCATTTTTTGGGGGGGCTTAGATTGGTAGCTTGGTTCAATTTAAAGTGTATGTAAGCTCTTGTCTCGGTGCATTTTTGGAATTGTCTCCTACAGGAATATCAAAGAGATTTTCTGTATTAAATGTCCTTGATCAAATTTCTTAATGAAAGTTACTTGACTTTCTTGCATTTTGGTTTTCAGTATAAAGGGAGAAACACGTCATGTTTATAAAGGTGATCGTGTCAAGGAGGATATTGTAGGATTTGCCTTAAGGATGGCAGCACCTCCAATTCAGCATATACAATCTTACCGACATCTGAAGGACACCATTGATCGAGGAGATCTGTTCTTCATATATGTTGGGAGTCATGAAGGAGATATTTGGGTAAGATCATGACAATTATAGTTTAAAATTGATTTCTTATGTGGTGCTGTGGTATGTGCATCGCTTTGTCTGTTCGGGCAAAGCACAAGTTGGTTCTTGGCATTAGCCGAATGGGTAACTACATGGGCATAGCCTCACTCTTTGCTAGGAGACCTTCAACAATTCAAGGGTTTCCTGTCCTAGACAGGTAGTGTAATTCACAATTATATCATTTCACTTCAGTTCAGAATAATAATATTACTGTTTCCCAATTTCATGATAATGAGAGGTAACAGTCAGGAGTGAGTATGAAGGGAAAGATGTTTCATATATTATTGTGTATAGTGTCATTATTGAAAAGAAATCCTATGCAATTTTTCCTTTTAAACTTTACATAGGTTGCCATAAAATAAATATTCTTTTGTTTTGTCTCAGTTGGATAACAAATACTACTGTCACTGAAAAAAATGATTAAAAATTTTGCAAATGACATACTTTGCCAGGATGAGGGAAGCCTTAGTACATACTGTCCCATTCTATGGCTTCATGCAGATAGTCATGCACTCTTGTGTTGGTAGAACTCAACTAAATTAGTAGTAGTAGTTAAAGTAGAAAGTAGTTATTATTTCATTTATTTAATGGTATATATATATTTATATATAATATGGGAAATGCAGAAATAAATATGGAATTACTATATAACAATATAGTACTGTACATATATATATATCTTGTTCTCAATTGCTTTAATAATTATTTACAGGATGCCTACAAGGATATGGCCGATGAATATAGACCCTTTTATTACTTCTACGATATTGAAACTAGCTGTATGGAAGAAGTAAGTTCTAATTTCTTTAATGATGTTATTTATACTAAATAATGTTTGTTTTTATAGTATTCTGAACTTTGAAAGAAAAGTGTTACAAGGTGTGTGATGAAGTGTGTAGGCAATTTACATGGTAAATATTTTTGGAAGTACTGTATTGTACAGTGGAATCCCTAGATTCAACACATCTTGATTTAGTGAATCTTCGGTTTGAATACACACTTTCCAGGCCAGATTTATTCACCCGATTCAACAAACAAAGCTTTTGCTGAAGCAGGGAATGTTTGGATTCGCTTAGGATGTTGGGACCAAGTTCATAAATGGAGGCAGCATTGCAAGAAACAGTTGGGCCTTGGGAAAGCCACTGAGTATACTGTACTGTATTTAAATCAAATTATATGGTTCTTTTTCTTCCCAGTTGCAGAGATTTTTGTTTAATAAAATATGGCCCTTTTTCTTTTGAAAGTGATAATTTGAGGCTCGGACGTAGAAAATATGCTAGATGTGGTTACATTTTTTTGCAGACATGCTTATTTGGTATTTGTCTATTATATTATAGGTCGAAATAAACATTTTCCTAAGTGAAATCAGTCTATAGGTCATGGTAAATGCTGCATTCTGGAGCCATCTTCAGTTGCAACGAATTGGGGTTGGTCCCATATAGTTCGTTGAATCGAGGTTATACTGTACCATAATTTTTTGTTTTTATTAATTAAAAGTTTAATGATGTTTCTTAACCTGGACAGTTTTCTTTGTTTATTCATTATTTGGAAGGGTACATGTTATATGTCCTAGATAGCTTGGCATAATTTTGGTAAGCCTTTGTTGTAGGGAAATACTTGAGAATGTGACAGTTTAGATTATAAGGCTTTAAAAAAATAGCAGGTTATTGATATAACAGTATTGATGATGGAAGGTAGTATAGACATGCTTATTATTCAAGTAAATATATATTATTAATATTTTAATTTTAATTACAAAATCATTAAACATTTTAAAGTACAGTATTAGTCAGCTAATTAAATATTCATTGATCTTATAAAATGAAATGGAATTAATGTAGGTCTTCATTTCAGCATGTCAAGCTGGAGTATAATCCTGCTGTAATGGTGTTCAAGGATGAGATGCATTTCTTTTTCCCAGGTAAAGCATTTTAAATATGTAGAGGTAAAAGTATTCATAATCTGACGTTTAATGTTTCCTGGCAGTGGTAGGAGTGGTCAGTGTCCTTCTGAAACATACAAATTTGTTTGGTATGCACTATCCATGTCTGTATTTTACAGATATTTTTGGCTTTTGTTAGAAATAGTAATGTTAAAATATAATTTTGTGCTATTTTGGAATTTAATGGTGATTATATTTCTGCAGTACCAGATGAGAAGGAGCTAATGGAGGACAAAAACGTTCTCAATACTTCTTTGATGGACTGGATCAACCATGAGCGCTTCACAACCTTCACTAAAGTAACTCATGGTAACTTGCACCAGTTATGGAAGGTGAGGCTATTTTTAAATACTCTTTCACAAGTTCATTATTTTTATTTACTCTTTTTTAAACTTTTGCATTTAGTTCCCTGTTGCTGAAACACTTAATTTTTAATACAGTAGCCCAACCAACATAATTTATTTATTTGATTCCTTTTAATGTTATCTTGCATCTGTATATTTTGAATGTACTAAACTTCAGAATAAGAAATATGAAGGAAAGACTTTTTAAGTATTAGATATTATTATATCTGACTATACTATGAAGTGTGATATAAAGACCAAATATTCTCAGGCTCAATGGCCACAAAGAAATAACAATAGCTTAATATATTTATGAAAAAATCTTTGTAGCAGGGTGGTGAAATCGAACCCACATCCCAGGTTACTCCAGTTGGGTATCCTAGATCGTGGCTTCGATTCCACTTCCATGCCCTAAACATTTTCTCAAAGTTTATGGGTTTCTGAAGTGAAAGGTATTACAGTATCTGAATGTACAGGTATGTTTAATCTCAGGGCTCAGTCCATTAAAAAATATAATCTCTGAAAGTTATGCATAGTAGGCAGGAAAATACAGTGGCGCCTCAATTAACGAATTTAATCCGTTCTGGCACCGACCTCGTCATGAGGAAAACTCGTCTTGCGAAACAACAACAACACTGTCGTCGGAGGTGTCCGAGAACCAGCAGGAATGTTCATTAATCGAGCGAAAGCTCGTCAGTCGAGACAAATTTTCTGCGAGTGCCTTGCTCATAACTGGAGTTGCTCGTGTGACGGTAAAGCGTTGGTGTTCGGCTGTTTCAAAAGCTAGGGGCAGGGCCTCGTCACATAATCAAAAAAAAAGAGAAAAGTTGGAGCTTTCGTCTGTGGTAAGGTAATGGGAAGACACACAAAACACAACTATATATAAACAATGAAATTTTAATTACTCTAGAAAAACAAGGCATGAATAAAGGTAATCACAAAAATATGCAAGATAAGTCAACAAACAAAATAATATGAATAATCACTGGCAAATGAAAAGTTACGTTAAGACAAGTAAGTTACAGTGATAGCAAAATAAAATATAAGTGGTGCTGGAATACTGGCTTCGAGCTGCCACCTCCCTTAGTACACGAAAGCCAAGGCTTAGTCTACCAGCGAGAGATGTCAACTGCTTGGAGCACTGAGATATTCTGACGATACTGCCGCACTGCAGCCCAGACGTCGACTTGTGGTGGAGGCGGAGGGCAGGGGCGACGAGTCACCAGCCAATCAGCGACAGGCAGGCAGAGGATGAGCTGGTGGTTAGCTGGTTACGGTGGTGGTGGCAGGTGTCATGGTGTGTTGGGTACGATTTGCTCTCTGGGCAAAACGTTTGGCGATACTTGGTGAACGTATTTTGTATATAGTCTCTTGTATATTGACGTACTTATGTAGGGAAGAGCAGGCTCAATCTCTCTTGAAAGAGATTATCGTCACACTCGTCACTCAGAGGTTCCACTGTACAGCCATTCCTTTGGCATTGGGGCATGTTTTATCAATAAGGCTTAGTGTGTTAGAATTTAGTTTCATATACTGAGGCCTGGGTTTCTTTCACAAGACATTACTGTGACATTGCCAGTCACGTACAAAAACCTTGGTTGAATATATGACCTTGTGGAACAAATGCATGGTGTACCATATCCTACATATTCAATATTATATTTCCAAAGCTTCTTATATAATATAGTCATTGTATGTTTCAGATAAACAAGTTTTTAGCCATCACAGTTGTTAAGGAGAGTAAAATTGGACGAATTACGACAGATGAAGATGCGTAAGTTTTACAACTAATTATATAATATTAAGAATTGAAATAACTACCAAAATATGTATAGGAATTTTAGACTCAATGAAGAAGTTAAAAGAAATAAGCATTGCTAACAAAATTTGGGTGTAGGATATGACTTAACTAATGTATTCTGCAGGGTATATTCCAGTTACCTGTGCAAATTTTTATTAGAGTATTAAATCATAACCTACTTATGTCTCTCCTAATTTCAGAGAAGACTATGTTGATGGGTACAAGTAAGTGGAAACAATTGCACAATATTTACTTGAGGTAGTTCCTGGACCTGCCACTAGTTGTAGATATTTGCCTCATCCTTGCTGAATGGCCACTTCGTGAATGATCTCAAACTCTTGACTTTTTTTGAATGGTTAAAAAAATTGAATTTTCAGTGTGGGAGGTCTTCAGATACTCATTATATAATCAATACTGTTGCATACATATACATCAATATGTTATCCAGAACATTTAAAAGATGATACTGTGCGATAAACTATTCAGTGATTTAATGATTAATATATGTGAATTTTAAAAATGTATAATTGGTATACAATTTTATCATTGGATATTATTATGAAGTAATACTGTACTTCACCAAATTTATTGATCATAATTACATGTTATGTGCTTGAAATCAACCCGTTCTCGCAAATTTAATAAGTCAATATTGACTTATTAAATATGTGCATAGGTGACATACTTAACATAATAGTTTCCCTTGAAAAGCTTCATAGAAAACACCGACCTTACCTAACCTACTTAGTATGTTAAGATAAGCATCTTATTGCTTCGTAATTACAATTATTACCTAACCTATACTTATAATAGGTTAAGTAACAATTGTAATTACGAAGCTATAAGATGCTTATTTTAACATACTAAGTAGGTTAGGTAAGGTCGGTGTTTTCTATGAAGCTTTTCAAGGGAAACTATTATGTTTAGTATGTCACCTATGCACGCAACTAATAAGTCAATATTGACTTATTAAATTTGCGAGAACGGGTTGTTGAAATATGCAGTCAAACAGCTTAATATTTTTCACTACAAAATAGCTTTTTTTTTTTTAATAAGCTAATGTTCTGGCTAAGAAAACAATTGATGTGTAGCCTATAGCAATAATTATTGTAAGGGTTTCTTACAATAAAAATCCAGTTTCTTACAATTGTAAGAAACTGTGATAGGTTTCTTATGTTTCAAGTACTTGATGACCAGCAGTGATTTCAGACCAAACTGGTATTCTCAGATCAAATACATAGCACGTACACTGTCACCTTGATTATTTTCTTGTAGCGATTTCAGGCTAGTTACATAGACTCTAAATTTATAAGAAATATTTTAAAAACTTAATATTTTGTGTAGTTTCTCATAAAAAGTGGCACAGTGGCATTAAATACTGGTACTTTTTTTTTTTTTTTTTTTTTTTTTTTTTTTTTTTTAGTTTACAGTAGTAGCCTAAATAATCCAGGTGTAAGATTTAATGGTGTAATGAGTGACTGGTTTGATATTTGAAGTGTTGTGTTCTTGGTCTTAAGAGGTGTGATGCTGCTGGGAATGACTGTTGGAGTGTGGAAATGTTTAACCCCGATGCTATATATTGTGAGTAATATTTGGTTAATATCTATAATCTTTCACCGTATTATTCACCATTTTACGCCAGAATAATGTTTCCCAATTCCATGAAAATGGGGAATGAGGTAGTGGTCATTATACGAGAAGCTATTAAATTAAGAACAATAAATATTCTTCCTCAGACCTTAATAATGTTACCCATTTTGTAAGATTTTTTATGTTCTGTCATTTCTTTTGCATTTTACATGTCATTTTATGCTTTGCCATATTGTCTAATATTATTCTATCTTCCATTGTCATTTAGTTAAGTTTAATTGTCTCCCACTGTGATGTTAAGTTCCTCTGTACTTTGGTTGGCTTCAAATAATTGTTCAAGAATGCTTGTGCTTCAAAAGCAGTAAGATAGATAGGTAAAAGTTTGTCTGATTGCATGATTGTACTGTTTAGACCAGGTTGAATGGGAAATGAATGACAGTACTGTACCTCACAAAGATCCAAGAAGTGAAAGAATAAATGCTTAGAAGATGATAAATACAGTTTGATACAGTAAGTAAAAACAAAAGATAAGTTGAAAATTATCTTTTGAGGAAGAGACTGTAAAGTAATTAATCTCAGTGACATTGAAAATATGCTAGGAATATTTGGTTAAGAATCCCAAGTGAGTGTATACTGTTAGACAAACTGGTAGAGGAGTGAGAAGTGCATGGTGGGGTGATACAAACATTAATGTTGGGAGAAGTAATTAGCACGGCATATACAGTACAGTATCAATTTTTTTATTTGCATAAACAAAAATTAATGGAATATACAATAATGTATAAAAAGCCACTGTATGATAAGACGATAAGGTGGTGGGTAGTGGTGGTGCCCTCTGCAAGAACTATACATAAACTGTCACTTCTAACCCCCCCCTATAAACCGAAGCACCAGATAATACGAGTTGTAATGTATCTTTAACCGATGTCAAATAGAATCCAAATGATAAAGATTTAAACATTATTGGAATATTTATTTAAAAGTTTTTTTGTGATTACAAATATTTTGTTGATTTTTCAAGAATACCAACCAGGTCTTAGTTGAACTTTCACTTTAAATGCTTCTTCCAATAATTCAAAATGTTGGCTGACGGACAACTTTACTGTAGGTGAGAGTACACAGTGCAATAATACTTGTTGCTCAGTTTGTCATTTTTTTCATTGATCTTTACCCTTGTTTTGCAAATCTTTTTATAATCTAACTTAAAATACTGTATAAATTGAAATACTGTAATGTTTATTTTTGATTATTCCAGTTTTTAAAGAATGAATATATAAATGTAAAATATAAACTTTGAACACATTTTGTTCAGCCTGAATAATAATAATGAGATAACCAATTATAATCTGCTATATTTGCCACAGGTTAATATTTAATTTATGCCCGAGAGTAAAATTATTCTCTCTTTCCAACAGGTTCAAAGATATGGTCGAGTCTGTGATTCGTAATAACCGTGAGAAGTATCACAAGTAAGTTTAACTTAATCTCTTATTTCATAGAATATTGTTGTCACCTTACCTTCTGTAAGTTAGTGAGTTATATAACACGTCTATAGCAACTAGGACTATGCAGTTTAATTTTGTTGTTTATTTAGCACTTTGCAGGCATCATTATTTCCTTGGCTGAGTTATTACGTTAGTAGGAAAGGATTGTTCAGACAGGACAACATACTGGCACTGGCAGCCTAAAAATCCGTCCAAATCATTTAATACGAGTTGAAAGAGCACGGGAGTGTTTCTCGTCTATTCTTAATGAATACAAATACTGTACACTATATAAATTGTTACACAATGCCCAATGTTAATATCTTTGTGTAGAGTATTTATATTTAAGGATTTATGTACTGGAGTCATACTATTGGGAATTGGGAGATTAATTGCTATATAAGTTTTAAAGATTTTTTTTCTGCCGTGTTTAATGATACAATAAAATTCTGACAGATATTTCCAGTTTGGATGGACTGGCACACCAGATTTAGCAAACAGCATTGCAATGGAACGGCTTCCACTCCCATCACTGTTAGTGGTAAATGCAACTACTATGCATCACCACTTGCCCGAGGATCCCCCGCAACATCTGACACCAGCTGCCATTGAAATGTTTTTAGACTCTATAATAGCTGAAACTGCCCCAGTAAGTTCAGGCATATTTGATTGTTTATAAAGGGTCGATTTATGTATTTGTTCTGGAATGTGTTAGTGTCACATAATAGTGTATACTGCTAGCTTTGTAGTAATAGCACAGATATTATAAAAATTATTATTCTACATTAAATTTTGTAGATAGAGTACCTGTAGTGTTGATCTTGTTGTATTAGGTTTGTTATAATAATGCTATTCAGAGATTAAATATGCTGAATATCTATTTATTAAGATGCCAATACAGTAATTGCTTGCATGTTTTTATGTAAGATACAGTATTTGCATTATAATTCCCATCTTTCTTCAGACGTATGGTGGGGACTCATGGCCTATAAGAATTTACCGTGCCTATTATAATGCGAGGACATCACTGGAAGAAATGTGGCAAGGCAATCCAGTACTGACATCAGTACTCTTTGGTCTGCCACTGGGTTTTCTCTCTTTAATATGCTACTCCATCTGGTGCTCTGATATTTTGGATGCTGATGATGAAGAAGGTGAGGCCTCCTAGTCATGTATTTATTGTAATAACGTGCCTTCTAAAGTTAAAGTATAATATTCTCTTAGAAAGGTTATCATATGCTGTATATTATATAGTTTCCATATAGTTCCTGTAAATTGTATTTAAATTTATTAAATTTAGGGTAATTTCTGCATTATTATTATAGATACATTTGTCAATAACGCTAAGCATTGCATAACAAATGGAATTCAACATGGATGAATGCCAATTAACAGTGCGGAATAAGTGAAACCTGGTCACAGGCTCCCAACAACCAATTTGGTGGAAAGATGCAAAGTACAGTAGGAGCAGTGTTATGTTACTCTTGTCAGTTTTGGAATTGCAATTAAATTCATGGATGCTACACATAAATTGAATTGCATATATGAGGCCCAGGTTCGAATATATAGCAACAGGTGTCTTTCTCATAAAAGGTTCAAAGACGTGCTAATAAATAGCTCCTGAACCTAAAGCAGAGCCATGAGGAAAGTCTGGAGGCCCTAAAATCTGGATCCCCAAATGACAAACATGTTTGAGTTGCACTACTCATAAATTCAAAGCCTTGAAAACTTACTAATATATTTGTATGCTTTCAGATGATCAACATGAGAAGAAAGAATGATGGAACTCGAAATGTATGGAAGAAATAGTTGCTAAAATTAATACCAGTACAGTATATGAGCTGCTTGGCTGTGGTGGCAGCAGTTTGTGTGTAAGTTTACAGGCATTGAAAAGTGTGATGCGACCTGTTGAAGCAAGGAGTCTTAACACTTCCCATTCTTTAGTAGATGGATAATTATGCAAGATATTTATTTATTCAACCTGACCTCTTAAAAATAACATTGCTTTTCGCTCGTATGCGCGCTATGGCCAAATTGGGACGTACAGTAATTTGAAATGAAATTGACTCACAAAAGTGACATACTGCCCCATTTTCTGCTTGAGTCGTCTGGCTTACTCAGTAAGGTTAAGAGAGGAAACTTTCAATTAACTCTTTTCATAATGTTTTGAAACTGAGAATTTTTTGCCCACCTAACCTATCAGAGGACCCTTAACTTACTGTTGTTGATATTTTTTTTCCCCTCCAAATTATGTCCACTTTTGGCCATATTGGTAAACGGCCAAAAGCGACGTTATTTTAAAGAGAACAGGTTGATTTATTACCATGTAAGCATGACGAACATTGAGATAGGAGATACAAAATATACACCGGAACTAACAACAAAAACTTGAGTATCTTGATTTGCTTCTACAGCAGGTGGCTACTGTATGGGGACAGGTTTGCTGTCGGTTATTTATGTGAATTCATTGTAACCATATTTACAAGTTCAACCTATCCATGTAACCTTTATATTCCATGTTACAGTGCAGGTAGTTATATGTTTTAAGGTACAACTCCTAAGTCATAGAAATGCATATTTATTTGCTCCCTCACTCTCAACTGTGGAGTGTGTTGGATACAGTCATTATATTTACATCAGTGTGTGTGTGTGTGTAGATATCATCATCACATCTCATGAGTAACTGCCAATCACAGAAGTTTTAAAATTGTAGTGAATTTTTTCAAGTTGAAATGAGTGGAAGAAAGTATTTGATTTGCTGTAAAAGTTACTTTGAATAAAACATTAGGGTTTTAAGGATTTTTTTTTATCATTGACATGCCATAAAGTTTACTAGAGCATTGTCCTCACAAAATGTACATCAGTTAATGAATGAGAAATATTTTTGTCAAACTGCTTGGTGGGCGATGAGCCATGTACAGCATACCAAGTGTGTTATCAAGTTATCCCTCAGTGTGCATCTTTTAATGGCTGTGAATGAGTCTGAGTTTAAAATAATACATTTTGTAACTTATTTTATACAATAGTACCCAGTATGTAATTTTAAGACAGCCAAATGTAACATAAGTGTGAGACAAACATGGCAGGAATAATTTGCTAGCATAAACTTTTAAATATTTAAATAAAGTAAGCATTTTAAGGCATTGTTTACATTTCCTTATGGACATGCATGTATTCCTAGTAAAAATGCTGTAAAAAATTTGATTGAAAGACTTTACTGATATTGGTAATATTTCCATTATTGGCCATTCAGATTTATGATCCACAACCAACCTTAGAAGGGTATTTCGGTAATGATCAAAGTTAACAGCTTTGATGCTCTGCAAGTCATGACTAATGGAATATTTATCAGTACAATATGTAAGGTCTTATCCAGATGTTGGGTGTGAGCCCAAGATACACAAGATACAGCAGGCATTTCCTTTGGATCGGGAAACTGGCTGTTCTCGAGTCTCAAGTTTGCCTAACGAGTTCCTCCCACCACCGTTAGAAATGTAAATGCACATTTATCCCAGGGTCCCAGAGCTTATTGGCATGAATTTGTAACAAAGTTCTAGGTCCCTGTACTTAGTTTTTTGGGTCTTCCTAAAGGAAGCAGTCCCACCACCCTCAGCTCTACTCTGTATGGTATATAGACATCAGCCAAATACACAGTAGATGCAAAAGTATAGTTCCATACAACCTGTTATCCTGCAACCATGGAGTGATAGTAAACTCCTCGTGGGGGCATGCAACTCGTTAGTTCTGCACATTTGAGTCAATGGCTCATGTTGACAGCTACACAATAAGTCGTTATCTTTTCTCATAATTTGTACTAGACATATTAAACATCTGCAGTGTAGTAAATTTTTATGCATGACCACTGAAATCAGGTATGCCATGATAGGCCTTATTTTAGATTTTTGTACACACAACGGTGGATATTTTCCACAGCCATGATATCTCCCACTACAAGGAATACCTAATAACTGCAGTAATAATATAGGCATACACAAACAATAATACTATGTTCTTATTATGTACTTGTACAATACAGTATATACATTATATTTTCTCCCTCACAAAATGGCATTTATATATAGTATTATATATAATATATAGGCTAATTTGAGGCTTTAAGTGGCAACTGGATCATTGTGAAGTGGGTGGCCTGGTGGGAACTCATGCCACTTCATGTAGCCAACCTGAAATTATAAGAATCACGTCATCTTATTGTACTGCACAGTACTTACTTTTAAACGTGTTTGTAAGTCAATACACAATAACAATACTGTGAATATCATCGTGCATTGGTAGGTGCCGAGGGATGGAGAACATCACTATCAGCACCACGAGTGTGGGCGGGTATCTTATAAAACTTGGATTATGGTACTAGATGGTGCCTTCCAAACTCCATACAAGTCAATTAGTACTTCTGGCCGAGATACTTCTAGCCGATCATGATCCAGTTGGTACTGTGGGTTCACTTCCATCATAGAGCCTCAATATTTATTCACAGATTCATCGCATTATTGTGATTGTCAGTGTGCAGGATGTGTAAGTTATGTGATAGCATAAAATGTGAACACAAGCAAAAAAAAAAAAAAAAAAAAGAAAAAAAGGATATAACTACCATAATGTTATTATCAATGTACCAGCAAAGCTTGTCTTTCATATTACTGTATATAAAAACAATTACCAATTACCAAGAAATAAATCAACAATAATATAAAACACCAAAATAAATTTAAATCCCTAAATTAATATAGTAACAATACAAAAAATTAAGTACGTACAGTATATACAGGAAATTAAACATGAGTACTCAATTGAATTTCATTAAAAATATTTTTCCTACCTTGTGAGTGAAATCTCTCTTGCCTTCTTGCCAACCTCTGTCTGGTGCTTCCTCGTAATTGAATCCTCCCTTGCCATCCTCCGCCACTCCAAACATCTTGATACGTTCTTTTATTTGGTCCCTAAAGAGATACAAATGCATTAAAATATAAAGTTTAATTTACAAATTAACAGGCAATTCATCCCTTGGAAAATGTGGTGGAGAACTAAGCAGGTTGTAGTAGTGAGATGCAACACGGGGAAATTGTTTTAATAACAACTGCAACAAGGGGAAATAGTAGTAGTGAGATCCAAAACAATGATGCTTCATTATATGAAAATGACAAACCCTTTCTTTACTCCAGCACCTTTTTTGAAAATTAATTACTTTCAATACAGTTTCAACTTAGTTCTTTCAGCTCTATTTCATAAGCCAGCCTGCTAACATTTCCAGTTAAGTATTGTATCTCGCCTAGCATCAGTCATCATCATTATCATCATGCAGTAGTGTCCAGTCCAAATACCACACATCTCACAATACAAACATTCTTAGGAGTATTCTAGAAAACAAAATGTCGCCTCCTCAACTTTATACATATTTAAACAAAATTGACATAACCCTTAAACTACACTAGCTTTAGTGGTGCCCAAAGCAGTTTAAGGCTTGTCTGTCATGTTAAGCCACTGGCTATATTGATTGTACCCAGCACAATCTCATGTCTTGAGAAAGACTCAAGGAATCACAAATGTAATTGTAAACTCAAAAGAGGAAAATAATCAATGATGAGCCACTAACAGAACCTGACAAAATGACTCTGGTGAACCGGTTGATTAGAGTCCAAAGATCCATACAAGCACAATAAAAATCTGCAACCCGTTCTCGCAAATTTAATAAGTCAATATTGACTTATTAACTACGTGCATAGGTGATATACTAAACATAATAGATACCCTTAAAAAGATTCATAGAAAACACCGACCTTACCTAACCTTGTTAGTATCTTAAGATAAGCATCTTATTGCTTCGTAATTACAATTATTACTTAACCTATACCTATTATAGGTTAAGTAATAATTGTAATTACAAAGCAATAAGATGCTTATCTTAACATACTCAGTAGGTTAGGTAAGGTCGGTGTTTTCTATGAATCTTTTTAAGGGTATCTATTATGTTAAGTATGTCACCTATGCACATATTTAATAAGTCAATATTGACTTATTAAAATTTGCATTAAATTTGCGAGAACGGGTTGAAATCTGATAACATAAACCTGTTTCACAACATAAGTACAGTACAGTACTATACTGCACATAAGGTTAAAATAAGTAATTTAACATAGGTGTATTAGTCTCTTGGCAGCGTGTGGAAGCAATCTCAAAATAAATAAAAATAAAATTTTGCTATATGGCTACATTATCTAATTTTAAAAGCAGCAATAATTCTTTAATCAAACTGGTATTTTAAGTGCCACGTTAATATAACAAGGCTCTAGAGACAGTTAACAGACACATCAGAATAAAAACAAAGTATCCCCTGCTCTGGATACCTAATTACAAGAATGGTTTAAAAATGACAGGTCTAACACTACTGTTACGGTATTGACACCATCGTCTGAGTATGGTGTGGCAATTCCAGCGCTATCTATGAGTCTGCACTCAAACTCCCCTGGTATTGGATGCTATGTGGACGACGCCATCTGTTGGTGATAACGTGGCAGCGATGAATGGCTTTGGTTTCCTGCCTTAGTCAGAAAGAGAGGTCGATGTGGACGACCTCTGGTGGATGGCATGTCATGACCTAGATGAACACCATCTAGGTTGTGCTACAAAGCATAATGTCAACTCCCCGGTGAACAAGTGTTACCTCAAGGTTTCCCCAGTGTACTGTTCATCTAATTAATGAGGTCTTTATGTCCACAGAGGTGACATGTGGAGGCAGTGGTACTGAGGAAGGCAGTTTACCTTGGGCAGTCCACAAACTCTTAGCTTGGTCCTGCAAGAAGACTAAGTAAGCTGCCCTTGATCTGAGCAGTGTGTGCTAATTGCTAATATACGCAGAGTTGGTGTAGATCGGTGTACCTGGGATTGGCTTGTAAGAGTTGTGGACGACAGTGATGTGCCTATTGTGAAGTGCTGCTAGCAAGCTGCTAGAGGCTTCCGCCAGAGTGTTCGCTACTCTTGTATATGGTTGTACGAGACCTCTGTCAGTGTGTTGCTGAAGTACTTTGCGAGTACATAGCTGGAAAGCAAAGTTGGGGTATAGGTACATAATGATACTGTGTCGGGGGACTGGCTCACGTAAAAGATGAATTCGCCAGGATTTGCCAGTACAAATGGACAGGGTACCGGACGGTGGAAACACTGGAGTTGACGAACAGTGCAAATGCATTTGTGTCCTGCGTGAAAGTGACACTTTTGTACATAAGTGTAGTAATAATCTATTTATATTTTTATTTAATGGTGATGGTAAATGTATTGGTGAAGGAAATCGTGTTGTTTATCCCTACCCCCTTTTTTATTCGTTGTACTATTACCAGCTCTTGAAAGCTTACTACCGACTTGGGGTCGGATATACAGTACTATAGACGTTATAACATCAAGAACCCAATTACGGGCCCATAGTGGCTGTAACACCTACCAATAAAATACTGTACATGGTAAAGTGTGTACACATACTCGAATACCAGAAAAATGCTCACCAACAGATTAATCACTAAACTGGGCTCAAAGACCACAGAACATCAACCAGAAATATCTTCAATAATTTGTTACCGAAACTTATCAGTCTTGTATAACACCTTCAATAGAGTAAAATTGAAGGTAAAGAAAATAAACTTAAACATACAGACTACTGTAGCATGCAGTATACCAGCTTTCTTTATTAGTCGGTCACAATACCCTGTGACCAAAGCATTGTATACTCAGTTCTGATTACCTAACATTCTAACTATTATTGCAGATCCAACCTTACCTATATTTATTCATAATCACTTTCTTGCCAGTGATGGGGTCAGTTACATCACCAAATTTGTAGACCATTTTAATTAAAGAGTGAGTAATATCCTTTGTCATCTTTTCTGGAAGTTCTCTGAAGAAAAAGATATGTTCCAAAATTATAATCAATATTAATACATATTGATTAAAATACTAGTATAATACTAGTAATATGAATATTGATTATAATTCATATACTGTAATATATTTAGCAAGTGTCACACCAACATCATTCATAGTTTTCTTAATAAGAGTACTAAATCAATCTTTACCATCAGTGTAATTATAAAATATTAATCCAGTACTCCAAGATAATGGCAAGCTTTAATCTTCCTCAAACAGTTCAGTAAAAAGTGATTATTTAGCACTGGCACTGTATAAAAATGAGAAGCTGGTATTCGGCAAATATGAAAAAAATACCGTACAGAAATTTTATCTCGATTAAAAGGCCTATATCAGAATGAGTTTGGTAAAATTTTCAAACAATAAGTTCAGTATGCCTTTGCATAAATAAAAAATAAAGCAAGATAAGGCTTTGAGTATTGATGAAAAGCTCCTTTCTGAAGTGAAGGTGAAAATTTAGACACCCATCCCACAAATCTGAAAATACTGCATAGGTGATGATGACATTTCAGTCCATATTAGGCCATCACCGTATCACACAAACCTTGATAATGGTCCAGGATGGACTAACACATCTCTTATTTTCAGATTAGTGGGTTGGGGGTTTAAATTTTCAGCCATGTTATTGTGCCATGTGTTCTGCATGTAGAAGAGTAGATAATTTTGTGTAGATAAATGAACTTAATAAAAGACATTCTGAATGGTAGAGCAACTGTCTCAGTTCTTGCAGGTCGGCATTCAATCAGCGACCAACCTCAAGTGGTTGGGCACCATTTCCATCCTTTCCAATTGATACATAATCATAATGGCTTATTGCTTTCTCCTGATAATTACCTTAATTTCGCCAGTGTCTCACTTCCTCCAATTATAGTAAAGCAAGGGCACTTGCAACGATCGCCACAGTAAAGTGACGATCTTTGTGGTAATAGGAAAGATTATCAAGGCTTAGCTGTTTGGTCATACTCTTGTGAGAGCAAGTCAATGCCTTAGAGAACAACATGGTGGCAAGCTCATAAAGGAGCTTTTCATCTACACTAAAAGTTTTTTTTTTTTTTTTTTAAGGTTACGAGAAAGGATTGAAAATGGAATGCTGGAAAGTTTCTGGAAAACTGTACAGTACTTCCCTATTTTCAAAAAGTTTACTTTTGATCGGCATATTTTCTGTTTACATGTCATTTTCCAATAGTGTGATATCCCTCCTCAAATAAATTTTATCTAGAATTAATTACATGAATGGTAGACAAAACAATTATAAAAAACTCTTATTTCTTACTTGATTAGTACAATATCTCCTTCTTTGCACACTTTCTCTGGATCATGGGCATAGTAGTGTGTATCACATGGAAAGTACTGAAACCAAAAGTAGAAATAAAACTAAGTTGTGATTGTAAGAACCTTGTATAATATCATTTTCCTGAATTACCCGAGGGCCACCATCGTTAGTGGCCTCGATGAGGACAGGAAGCCAAAAGTTTAACTGCCTAGAATAATTTTTATATTTATCTTACAAAAGTAAACATGAAATGAGAAAAATATAAACCATGCAATTAGAGCTAATACAAATAAATATAAATCAAACTATTGAAGCTTTACTCCAAATATATAGGTTATTTTGTGTCATTTTTGATGGATATAGGGTTACCTTATACCCATAACAGATTTTTAAAACCAACCTAACCTAACAGCATACACTGTTTTAAGAACTGGAAGATATTAATCCAGACTACTACTACTATAAAAGGAACAATGTAATACATATAAGGGGTAGCGAGATATGGTTTAATCATACACAGGCATTGCGACAAAGTTAGTTTCCCAAATGTTAAAAGCATCTATATACTATAGTCAGGTTAAGAAATATTGTATTGGCTTAGTTTAAGCTTTATTAGGCTCAGAGGGGGGGTTAGATTAGATTCATTGGAAGGTTAGGTTTAGGGAAAAGGCTAGGCTAGGTAGGTTAGGCTGATCTGGGCTAGGAAAGGTTGGTCTGGGCTACGTTGGGCTGGTCACGGATACGTTAGGCTAAGTATGGTTAGGTAGGTTTTAAAATCAGTTGGTGAACCACTTTGTGTATAATGTGACTTGCATTTGGGGCAGCAGGTTCAAACTCAACAAGCCACAGTGTAAGTTAGAAAACAAATGCTTTTTTCACCCACAGGGATATAAACCCATTGAATCATGTACGTGCCTAAGCCATAAATGCCAAGACATTACTTCAGTGTAAAATTTTACTGGAAAAAAGGTTCCGGTTTCCTATCCCCCCCACAGGGCCACTAAGGATAACCCTCAGGTAAATTCAGTTAATGCCATTGTATGATTTGTCCCAATCCTACTATTAATACCAACACCAAAATGCAGTATTTGTACAAATCCACAAGGGCCGTGACAAGGATTCGATCCTGCGTCCGAGAACATCCCAGACGCTGCCTTAATCGACTGAGCTACGACATGGTAAAAGGAGTCGAGACAGAAGTTCTATTGAACTTAATGGATCCTGCAGCCTCTCCGAGGCACAAACCAGGGTTTTACACAACTCCCCCATGCACTCGAGCTATGTCAAGAGGCCGTTCTCCCTCTTCACCCTTAGAATGGGAGAGAACGGCCTATTGACATAGCTCGAGTGAATGATTACTTGAGTGCATAGCTGGTTTGTGCCTCGGAGAGGCTGCAGGATCCATTAAGTTCAATAGAACTTCTGTCTCGACTCCTTTTACCATGTCGTAGCTCATTCGATAAAGGCAGTGTCTGGGATGTTCTCGGACGCAGGATCGAATCCTTGTCACGGCCCTTGTGGATTTGTTCATTTTATGCATTATGCAATTGTGATTTCTGTGTGTAATGCAGTATCTTTGTTTCTCTAGACTCAATGTTTTTATTATTTATTGGAAACTAAAACTAAGTCATTAGTTATGTGGGATAAATGGTTACAGCTTTTACGTGATAATAATTATAATAATAATTTGTTTTGCTGAGGATAGGAAGCCTGTGTATGGAGTACAGATACCTTAGGTATGTCCCCAGACCTCCCCCCCCCCAGGTCAATCTACTGACCTTTTACTGGATGCAACCCACAACAGTTGCCTTGCTGTCTACCAGGTAAATTCAAGTAACTCTCGGTTACCTTATTTACTGCTAGGTGAACAGAGACATTAGGTCAAAGTAAATGTTCCCAATCGTTTGTCCCACATTCAATGGTGTGTGATGATGGATTTGAAATAACAATGTTGGTATGGAAATTGTTAAACAACTACTTTTCACTCGTTTAAATGTATTAAATAAAATATATAAATGCCTGACTGCTCATAACATAGTACCGGGCTCCCCATAACTCACCATATTCAAGTTACTGTCAAACTCCATTCGTTTCACTCGAACTCTGGCAGCATTTTGGATATTGTGGGAGATGCATTGCCCAATTAAAAAGTAGCGTTTGGCCACCTGAGAAGCCATTATAATGGGTAGTTTAGTGAGGAGTAAAGAGGAGTCGAGCAGCGTGCACTCACTCCCCGTCTCCTCTACCTTCCCTGCCAGGGTTGCCAGGTTCAAATTGCTAAAAGTAGCGAGCTGACGGTCTAAAAGTAGCGAATTTGTAATAAGAGTTGCCCAATTTTTTGTTTAGTGACTATTGTAACTAGCTCATCAAGATTGTAACTTGCTTAGCTAAATGAATTGTGGGGTTCAGTCCCTGAGCCCATTATGTGCCTCTGTAACCCTTTCCAGTACCGTCCACAAGATGGGTATGGGGTGCATAATAAATGAACTAAACTAAAAAACTAACTGATACGGGTTTCAAAGTAATCTATTATGATATATAGAGTACATTAAACGATTTTAATTGTTTTATTAACATTATCTCTGCATATATATATTTAACCAATATGATAATAGGATAACTTATCAATATTTACTGTTTGAAGCTTAATGGGTGTGAAGTCCTTCCACGTCTTTACAGTTGAAGATTACCAAGATCTTGATCTACAGTTTTCCCCTGCAGTTTTCACAATATCGTAAATGTCCGAAATTTGACTTCTGAGCGTGATTTTTGAGCCTAATTCTGACTCTCTGCACCTATTTTCATTATCAAATTACGACTTTTTATACCGAAAATATGCCAATTACTGAAAACGGCGATGGGTCATATTTTGCCCAAACCCCCATGCGGTTTTCAAAATATCTGAAATGTCGGAAATTTGACTCCTGAGGGTGATTTTTGAGCCGAATTCTGACTCTCTGCACCTATTTTCATTTTCAAATTACGAATTTTTATACCGAAAATATGCCAATTACTGAAAACGGCGATGGGTCATATTTTGCCCAAACCCCCCTTCAGTTTTCAAAATATCTGAAATGTCTGAAATTTGACTCCTGAATGTGAATTTTGAGCCGAATTATGACTCTCTGCACCTATTTTCATTTGCAAATTACGAATTTTTATACCGAAAATATGCCAATTACTGAAAACGGCGATGGGTCATATTTTGCCAAACCCCCCTGCAGTTTTCAAAATATCTGAAATGTCGGAAATTTGACTCCTGAGCGTGATTTTTGGGCCGAATTCTGACTCTCTACACCTATTTTCATTTTCAAATTACTACTTTTTACACCGAAAATATGCCAATTACTGAAAACGGCGATCGGTCATATTTTGCCCAAACCCCCCTGCAGTTTTCAAAATATCTGAAATGTCGGAAATTTGACTCCTGAGGGTGATTTTTGAGCCGAATTCTGACTCTCTGCACCTATTTTCATTTTCAAATTACTACTTTTTACACCGAAAATATGCCAATTACTGAAAACGGTGAAGGGTCATATTTTGCCCAAACCCCCCTGCAGTTTTCAAAATATCTGAAATGTCCGAAATTTGACCCCTGAGCGTGATTTTTGAGGCGAATTCTGACTCTCTGCACCTATTTTCATTTTCAAATTACGACTTTTTATACCGAAAATATGCTAATTACTGAAAACGGCGATGGGTCAAATTTTGCCCAAACCCCCCTACAGTTTTCAAAATATCGTAAATGTCCGAAATTTGACTCCTGAGCGTGATTTTTTAGCTGAATTCTGACTCTCTGTACCTATTTTCATTTTCAAATTACGACTTTTTATACCGAAAATATGCCAATTACTGAAAACGGCGATCGGTCATATTTTGCCTAAACCCCCCTGCAGTTTTCAAAATATCTGAAATGTCGGAAATTTGAGTCCTGAGCGTGATTTTTGAGCCGAATTCTGACTCTCTGCACCTATTTTCATTTTCAAATTACGACTTTTTATACCGAAAATATGCCAATTACTGAAAACGGCGAGGGGTCTTATTTTGCCCAAACCCCCCTGCAGTTTTCAAAATATCTGAAATGTCCGAAATTTGACTCCTGAGCGTGATTTTTAAGCCGAATTCTGACTCTCTGCACCTATTTTCATTTTCAATTTACGAATTTTTTTACTGAAAATATGCCAATTACTGAAAACGGCGATGGGTCATGTTTTGCCCAACCCCCCCTGCAGTTTTCAAAATATCTGAAATGTCGGAAATTTGACTCCTGAGTGTGATTTTTGAGCCGAATTCTGACTCTCTGCACCTATTTTCATTTTCAAATTACGACTTTTTATACCGAAAATATGCTAATTACTGAAAACGGCGATGGGTCAAATTTTGCCCAAACCCCCCTTCAGTTTTCAAAATATCGTAAATGTCCGAAATTTGACTCCTGAGCGTGATTTTTGAGCTGAATTCTGACTCTGCACCTATTTTCATTTTCAAATTACGAATTTTTATACAGAAAATATGCCAATTACTGAAAACGGCGATGGGTCATATTTTGCCCAAACCCCCCTGCAGTTTTCAAAATATCTGAAATGTTGGAAATTTAACTCCTGAGCGTGATTTTTTAACCGAATTCTGACAGAAACCCTGCACCCGTCGCTCGGTTACCATAATATCCTCCAAAACAGTTTTCTATAATAAACTAGCACAAAAAATACAGAAAACGAGAATCAAAGGGAGTTGTCGGGCAGGCAAGAGTTGATGACTAACTATGGTATTTTCTCGTAATTCCACCAGACACAGTAATTCCATCTATCATCATACTATCATGCAAGAGGAGCCACATATCTATGGTTCATCCAATAAAATCAGCAGGGACTTCTAGATGTTACTACTGCTCGGCTTAGACTCGGTTACAAGTATTTTCTCGACTCAAAGCCACAGCCTAGTACTCATCTAGTTGTGCTTCTGGGGGTTGAGCTTTGGCTCTTTGGTCCCGCAGCCTCAACTGTCAATTAACTAGCGTACAGATTCTGGAGCCTATTGATAAGGGTAGATAAGAAGATCAGTTTGCAAGAATGTTCTGCTCACCCACCAACATATGAACCCCCTTAACAACACATCGTATATTTTTGTACATGAATAAATAAATACAATAAATAAATTACAATTACATCATGCTAGTCTAATCAATCTTAACGGCTCGAAACGCTATACGCGTTATTGACTTGACAAGAATGTTAGAACTCCAATGTTATGTACTCTCACAAATCCAATGTACCTTTTTGAAAATAAATAAATAAATAAATAAATAAATAAATAAATAAAATTACCAGGTAATAATACTTGTAATCAAAATACTGAAATGATAATTGTAGTAATAAAATGGAAGCGCTTATTTTCCTTAGTAATGTAGACAAGGAGAGTAGCACCTGTATATCTTGCGCGAATAAGCCTGAATGGTCCCCAGGCATATATGCAACTGAAAACTCACACCCCAGAAGTGACTCGAACCCATACTGCCAGGAGCACTCTGCAACTGGTGTACAGGACACCTTAACCACTCGACCATCACGACCGGACAAAAGATGATGGTACCCGAGGCTAAATCCCCATCATCCCGCCGGCACTCTGATGGTAATTTCAGGCATAGTATTTTATCAAATCACCTTTATTTGATCTTGGATGGTTAAATTGCCTCATAGAAATTATATATCAGCAAGTTTGTGAGATAATTATGAGGAATAATGATATAATAATGCCATTTGTTTACTAATGTGAAGGATTACCAATGGTTATCTTCTTGAGGTTATCTTGAGATGATTTCGGGGCTTTAGTGTCCCCGCGGCCCGGTCCTCGACCAGGCCTCCACCCCCAGGAAGCAGCCCGTGACAGCTGACTAACACCCAGGTACCTATGGTCCCAGGGTAACACATTTCCGGCTCGGGAACCATGCAATGTTTATGAATCATGGCGCAACCTGTCATGAATAATCAACACCGCATCAATAACCTCAGCTCTCTGTGACGTAAAGGGAATGAGGACATCAAATACAGCGTTAATATTAATTCAACCTTGTTCGCCATGATGGAATCCATATATCAGGTCAAAAGGATGTCAGCGGCGGAAAGGAAAATATTTGAATTTATATTGTTGCCGCCTGTTGGTATCGACGTTGATAGAAAACGTGATTTTTTAGGGGTTCCAATTGTCCACTTTATTATGTATGACCAAATAATTGCTATGAGTACAAGAATTTTAGAACGATGATTTGTTTATTTGGCACATCTCATTGTGAATAAATTCGTTAAATTCATCTGTTTTCCTCTGATGACACTTTATTTTTTTGATTTCCGTTTGTTAGCCGAATATATCATTACAAATAAGTTGGTGGAGCAGCCTCGGCTACCATCAGCTTTTGTCCGGTCGTGATGGTCGAGTGCATTAGGTGCCCTGTACACCAGTTGCAGAGTGCTCCTGGCAGTATGGGTTCGAGTCACTTCTGGGGTGTGAGTTTTCAGTTGCATGTATGCCTGGGGACCATTCAGGCTTGTTCGCATATCATTACAAATGTTTTAAATTTATGCGAGAGTTACTATATCTCTAGTGATCTCGACGAGGACAGGAAGCCGGCAGCTTGTCGAAGGTTTCCACATTTGTCCTGATGATTTTTGCTTGAAGGCTTCTGTTTGTCATCCACGTTCCCATATGCAGCCCAGCTGTTTATGAATTAAAAACGGTTTACACACGACTCAACTGATTTCGTTCGAACACTTCCGGAACAAGTGCTTCACTGACGAATTTTGTTCGAACCACAACGCCGTAAATGCTTCACCCGCGTACTACAAATACAAATAATCGCCAACAGAACCTAAACACCTAACCTAACCTAACCTATGCTTATATATGCACAATATGCTAATATATTATAATATTAATTTATATTTGAGAAAATTCCTGTTTTGAATGAACAGCATGTACAAATTTATGAATGCGTCTGTGGGGTCGACGCCTGGATATAATGGACTTGAGTCGAGGACGGGTTGAATAATTTATATATGAATAATAATTTTAATTTGAAAATAAACCTAGAGTATTTTTGTCACACAATACGTTAACATTTATGAATGCGTCTTAGGAGACGGCCGCCAGTTTTACGAGCCTAGCCTGACGGTAAATACAAATAACTGTGAATAGAACTAAAATAGTAAACCTAACTCGGGCTTATAATATAATGATGTTAAATTGTTAACCACACTATCATGGTAAAAAATATTTCATTCACTTGGGCACTAGGAGACTCGAGCCGCCGATCCCACGGGTGTTAGGTAGAAGCTCTTCCGGGAGGCCTGGTTGGAAACCGGGCCGCGGGGCCGTTGATCTCCGTAACTTCTACAAGGTAGGTAGCCACTATACTATGAGACAACCTCAATACAAAAGATTTCAGAGAGGCAATTATCCGCTGCCCAACTAAAATTGTATATTTTTTTAAATCTTTTGTATTGCGGGTGTATCATAGTACAGTGGAAGAATTTCTGTCTCTCACCCGTGGGGTCGGTGGTTCTAGTCTCATAGTGCCCAAATGAATGAAATAATGTTAATTTATAATTACAGAAATTTTTAATTTTTTTATTACATATGACGGACAAAATTTACGAATGCACTTTGGTTCCGGACGCAAATCGACATAGCCTCAAAATCGAATAGATTTGAATGGTTCAAAAATATATAATTTTATGAGAAGCTTTAATAAAGTTAACTTAAATATAATCAAATAGTACCAAAACCGTAAGGCAATACATTACGAAAGGAATACATAACTTGAGCTGGTTCTGGGAGCCTCGTGGCCGACCACCGGTGATGGCGGGGGGGGTGCCGCCCCTGGGTGGGTGGGGGGGGGAGTGCCACCCCTGGGGGGGAGTGCCACCCCTGGGGGGCTGGAGAGTGCCACCCTGGGTGGGGGAGGGGGAAGGGGTGTATGGGAAGGTATATGTGGTGAAGGGCCGCCGGCCGGTGTCAGTACACACAAGACCCGCGCGGAGGACGGTCGTGCGTCCTGGTCCTTCATCCAAGATGATTCACGTTTTAGATAACGAAGGTAACCACAATGAAGCTGGTCAGTTTAAGAGTAATAGAGAAGTTGCAGAGAGCAGTTTATGAAAGCGGTATTTTATATGTTGTTGTGAATACTAAATGAGGTATTTTTGTTGTATGTTTTGAACAAATTAATGGTATGATCCCTATTTCATCCGCGTGTTTGAAACATGAAATCGATGAGGCGGAGATGGAACAAAAATAGTTTTCGAGCCGGCTTTTCCAAGCTTCTCCTGCTATGGAGGAAAGAATAACCCAGCAGCAGCAGGACAACTCCTACGGACTCTTGTCTAACCGACATGTAGCACGTGTTGCTAAATTTCTTGAACACCTTAAAGTGTTGCCATGCAAGCAGTAAACCTTTCGTAGCTGTCCTAGGCTTTACAGAGGAGGGAACATACTGTGCACGGCAGCGCTTTAAAGTGGTACTTGGGAGGTGTTGACGACGCCGGAGCCACGATGAAGACGGTGCTGAGCGGGGACAGGAGGAAACGGTTCCATGTCAACCGGGTGGACACGCAGGAGCAGCAGCTGAATGCCGCAGAAGCCAACTCAAACTATCACAGGCCTCACGCCCCGCCTTCCCCAGGTTACTAACACGCTAACCAACCCTCTCTGCTTTGCTAATCTTCTTGTAATTTTCCACTCCGGCCTGCTCTATCGCCTCGCTTGCTCACAATTTTCCACTAGAGTTCTTTATTCTCTTGTAATGTCATACTAATTTAGTCAGTTTATCCCAAGGAAAATTTCCGCTTGCTGTCCGACCCACTTTTGCCTGCATTAGGCTACTGTAGTTTTAGTGTTTCAATTATCAACTTTCCAACCTTTCTAGCCGGGCAGGTTACCACCCCTTACGTGTTCACCCGCCCTCCCTATATAGTACATTATCTGCTTCGTAGCCTCCTACAGTGACTATCCTAACACGCTAGTTCATCCTACCCTCTTATCAACTACCTTAATTCTCGGAGCCTGTTATTAATACTGTAACCCGGCCGTCCTAAGCAATTGTTTCCTCCGACATTAGCCTACAATCCCGCCCCTGTAGCTTAGAATCCTTGCAATCGTAGCCTACTAAAGGTGATACAGGCAACCCCGATCACATACCACGCCAAAGATTGCTACCACTTACACCATGCAGCTTCCCTAACAGCCTACAAGTTTGTCTTAACCATGCCACCCTTGACAAAAGCTCCCCCGCTTACTGCCTGCATATCTGAGTCGCCACTAAATCTCCTCCTTTCTTGCTTTGTTTTTTTCGTGACGCCTAATAATTTATTTCACGCGATGTTTGCTTGAATTATTTTGTCTATCAAGATTTTTGGTGATAACGATATATAAGTACGATCTTACTTGCTTTTATTGTCTTATTTAATAAGAAGCTATATTTAGTCAAGCGCAACAAATTGTATGTCTATATACACCAATTTGAGTTAAGTGCATGACTGATTCATTTAAATGTTTCGCTGCTTGGAATGCACGGTTGATTTTAGGTTAGTTTAGGTAGGAAATGTTGACAATCCAGCTATCGTTTGATTGTATCCCACTAGTGAATATAATTTATTTAATATATCTAAGCTTATATCATTATGTTATTCACTAATTATGTTAAGTAATTGCCCCTCGATTCTACCTAAAAATAGAATAGTGCTGTATAGTCATATATTAGCTTAGCGCTTCCTTGGCTTAAATTCACGACTAATTATTGATCGATCTAGTTTAATTAAGTGGTTGGGATGGACGCTCTACCGTCTAACCCAGCCCCTTGGGCTAGACGGTAGAGCGATGGTCTCGTTTCATACAGGTCGGCGTTCAATCTCCGAGTGTCTAAGTAGTTTGGCACTATTCCTTTGCCCCCGTCACATCCCAAAACCTTTATGCAAGTCCTTCCCACGCGCTGTATAGTTATAATGACTTGGCTCTTTCTCCTGGCAGTACTCTTCCCTTCCCTTTTCTGATTTGCATCAATGATCAACCATTACTTAATATCTAAGCCACATGCTATTTGACGTTAAAACCATTTTAATTTAATTTTCACTCGCTGTTAATATAGACGAAATATACTTTATATTTTTTTCAAACAATTCTTAAGTAATTATATATATAAAGGATATACAACACAAATGATCAGGACAGTAGTAAATTTCTAGGCGCTACACAGGCGCGATAATTTAAAATTTAAGTGCACATACAAAATGTAATACAAATGTTTAAAACTGCAGGCATATTCCAAAATACACTAATAATGAACCTCGGTGTGCCCTTATAACTGTTATTCGCTCAATTATCCATATCTCACCTATGGTATGGCTATTGCACCCGGGGATCGACCTTAAACTGCCTCGGACCCATAATTCAGCCCGTCCTCATAAACAAAGGCCAAAGTCCATTCCATGCATCTGCCAAACCTCCCTATTTATGGATGAAAAATAGTCTACACACAACCCGTCCTCAGACCAAGACCATTCCATCCAGCGGTCGACCCCAAAGACCCATTCATCAATTTTAACATGCTGTTCATTTAAAACAGGCATTTTATCAAATATATAAATTAAAATTATTTTATAATAACATATTGTACATATTTAGGCACTGGTTAGGTTAGGTATTTAGGTTCTGTTGGCGATTATTTGTATTTGTAGTACGTGGGTGAAGCATTTACAGCGTTGTGATTCGAACAAAATTCGTCAGTGAAGCACTTGTTCCGGAAGTTTTCGAACGTCATCAGTTGTGAATCGTATGTAAACCGTTTTTCATTCATAAACAGGGGGTTTGACTGGGTGCATGGAATGGACTTTGGGTCTTTGTTTAGAGTACGGGCTGTTACACACGACTCACAACTGATGACGTTCGAACACTTTCGGAACAAGTGCTTCGCTGACGACTTTTGTTCGAACCACAACGCTGTAAATGCTTCATCCACGTGCTACACATACAAATAATCGCCAACAGAACTTAAATACTAACCCAAATTTTTAATATGTAAGTTTACATTTTATAAACAATTTACATTCACTGTATTATAAATGTAAACTTGCATATTAGTTTTAAGTTAGTCTATATCAGCTTGAAAGCGTTAACATTACGTTTTCTTTGCATGGCACAAGGGGGAACTATCAAAATAAATGCACGTGACCAAATCCCTATAGTTATTAGTATACGCAAATATTAGCGCATGTAGTTTTCCACGTCAATGTAACTCTAATATAATTCTTTGATTAATAATTACTTCTAATACTGAATACATTTGTTATGTGTTACTATAGTAGGCTATTGGATATTTTGGAAAGAGCCTAATCTATATAATCTTGTATATTCATGCAATATATATAGTTAATTTAGTTCATTTATTATGCATCCCATACCCATTATGTGGGGCGATGGGGGAAAGGGTTAAAGAAGCAAATAATGGGCTAAGGGACTGAACCCCAACAATATATATGCATATACTCGGTATCATTCATTTTATATTTATATATGTAATGTCATTTACATCATTGCTATTTATATATTTAATGCTATTTATATCATTGCTATTTATATATTTAATCTTATTTATATATTTTATTTAATATTAATTTATTTGATATCTATACAATTTGCTGTCATATTATGATAAGTGTGTGTATATATATATACCCTTCTTTATTCACTATATTAAGTCATCAGATATCATAATTTCTGATAGTCGTATTCTGGGCAAGTCAGAATTTTCCCAGAGTTAGACGAGAGGATATTAACATGGATGGGATGGAGATACCAGATGAATGGAGAGGAGGTGGGTGGAAAAGTTTATTTACCTCGTGAGGGTACAGTTGACACGGTAACTCTACCGTAGCGTAGTACATATTTACACTGTAAATATTTATATGGTAAATAGCTTAGGCGTTACGTGGTAAGGGTAGAAACGTAACTGCAGGAACGTAGAAGATATTGATGTGGCTAGGGTAGAATTCAGATGGTAAATAGTTTGTAGATAGTTACGCGGTTAAGGGTAGATTTGGCACAACTAGCGTAGTAGATATTTACGTGGTTAGAGTAGAAATAACAGGGTAACTAGCGTAGATATTTACGTGGTTAGGATAGAATTGACACGAAAACTAACTTGCTTAATGTTTACGTAGTTAAGTTGACGTAGAAACTAGTGTCAACATATTTACGTGGCAACGGCAGATTTGTCATGGCAACTAGAGCTTGATGTTAGCTCTAGCGGGTAGAGTTGACATAATAACTAGCATAGCAGAGGTTTACGTGCTTGGGGTAGAGATGACTCTACCACCATATTAGCTATTTACGGGGGAAGGTGTTGATATACCGGGCAATAGCTACTTTTGTAGCCGTTTTGTGATGATGGTAGAATTACCATCATAGCTAGCTCGGTTATTTTGTGGTTGTGGTAGAACTTATTTGATAAATAGCTCGATTGTTAGTTTGTGGTTATGGTAGAATTACCATCATAACTAGCTCAGTTGATATTTTGTGATTGTGGTAGAATTGAGATGATACCTACCTCAATTGAATGTACTAGGCTAGGATGAAGGTAACACGATAATTAACTTATATTATCGTGTAAGTAATAAATACTAAGTTACCAATGAACTAGTTATGATTATTGATATCAGTGCAAACTCCTGGTTACAATATCAACATTGAGAACCTTTTGTTGTGCTTCCTAACTCCATCATTATTTAAACTTCATTTCAATAATTACGGAATCAAACAGTAACGTATATTCATAGTGGTTCTTTAGGTTTATAGATTTTTTTTGTGTAGGAATATTCCTGCGCGGGCCCTAAGCCTCTGGCTGGCCCACTAAGTGTTGCTTGTTTCTGTTTTACTTGGGCGGAGTATGAGTATTTATGACTCGTATGTATGGTCGCTTCAGTAAGAGGTTTGTAGATGCTTCGGTTGTTCTTCGCTTTGGTTGTATTGTAATATTTTAGCTCTGTTGCATATATTTCTGGCCCTGTTGCACGTTTTGGTTTTCTTCACTTTCCATTGTTCTCTGTTTTTTAAATTCCATCCGGATTGTATTTTTGCTTCTTGGCAAAACATCCTAGCCTCGATTTTTAATCCCAGCACTATGTTTGTACGGTGTTATGCGCCTCACTGCAGCACCATGCTTGGAGATCGAAGATATTTCTCTTGTTCTTAGAGCTGCATGTCTCTCTATGCTCACTCAATTATGGCGTACACGGTTATAATATTGATATAAAATACATTTGAAACATGATACAGTGGCGTATTCGAAGGTATTCAGTATAAATTATAGAAAACCAATAATACGCAGAGGCATAACTTAGCTTTATTAGGTTATTTTTTTAGGTGTATTGGGTAACATTTGGTATTAAACGAAACATAAACATATTTGAAATTTCAAAGAAATTAGCCAAGTATTTAATTTTCGTAATCAATATTTAATGATGAGACAGACTGCTAAAACTGCAGATTGTATATTTGAGTAAAGTACAGACAATCTTATAGATAGCTATTGCACCGGTTTATCGCTGATGGCTCGTTAATCTGTGTAATGATTTTGAATTCAAAAAGAGAAAAACGGAGCAGAGCGCGGCTCCTTGATACATCTCTGACACAGAACTCCACCCGATCAGCGTAATAGGTAAACATGAGACGACTTTGTGTTAAGTGAAGACGGTTGTAGTAGGAATTTTTTTTAGATTATTTGAATTGTTTAACATTTTATTGTTTTGCTGATATACGCGTGTTCTTATCCCCCTCCATATTGTGCAGATATCGAGGAACGATGCGCTTCCCCGATCTCAGCGCCATCAGACACGGAGATGGATTCACTGACATACCCACACAACATGGGTACCCATTCGGGAACACACTCGGGCACTCATGCCACATTCCGGTCCCTGCGGCATCTGACCCGAGAAGCACTGCCAAGACTGGACCATTACCGCAACTTGGCGAGCATCATGCATGCTCCAGGCACCGGCCAGAGACCCACCCTTGATGACCTCCACCAGCCGCCGCCGGGCACGGTATAGTCTGCTTTAGTCTACACTCCTCTCTCATGTCCTGTTTTCAGTTACGCCGTGCCAGCTCCATTCTGCGGAAGCCAGCTTTAATCAGTCTGTTTCCCTTTGCATTACTGATTCAGCCAAGGGATTACAAAACGCATAACGCAGCAAATATGGTGTATATGATGCTGTTTGTAAGTGGAAGTTTTAAAGTGGTGCAAATGTTCAAAAGTGTAAGGCTAAGGGATTTGCAGAAGACCTTTTGGACCATGCAAGGTGGGTACTATTTAGTTCAGGTCATTGTCAGGGTCAGGAAGCTTGTTAGGCCTATCCAGGTTGTCATAGCCAACGACTAACCTTCCGAGGGCTACAGCCTCACACATCATTCGACCAATTCCCAAATACTTATTAACTATTTACAGCTAGGTGAACAGGTTCATCAGGTGTAAAGAAACGTACCCAAACGTCTAAGCCTCCCGGAAAGTAAACTCATCATGCCTTTGACCAGTGCATTATTTATTTTCCAATTTAAAAAAAATCAGTATGAATCCATAGTCGTGTGTTGTGGTTTGGGATGATATATTTACAACATTGTTTATAAACTGGGATATGAATGTCATTTATGTGAACTTAAGTGGCCATGTGGCCAGTTAAGCCCACGTTCCAACCCCCTCTTCTCACGCCCTGAGAAGTCGTGAATGCCGAGATAATCGCGAATGCATACAGCCAATCAATCCGTCAATCTTTGCGTGTTTATAGTAGAGGGGAGATATATCAACGCCTGTACGAAGAGCATGTAGTGGGGATCCTCCTCGAAATTCTTCTCATGGACAGTATCTTGCTCTTCACCAGTCGTCTTTATTGTCTCTGGCAACACTCACACTATCTTGGCCTGTATTCACACACACCTGCTCCACCTTCATCTCTATAAAGAATACAAATATCTTAGAATAAAAACTGTGATATCGTTCCCAGGAAGCTTGGATGTGTAATACTGACTCCCCCTTCTCTTAGTGGGGGTGCAAGCCCCCTTTCTCTTGGTGGGGTGGAGGCTATACTTCTCTACTTAGTGGGGTGGACGGGAGTGTTTATGGTGTCAATATGTGATGTTTTCCCCGGCCTCACCACAGCCTGACCTGCCTCTAGGGTGTGTGGTGGTGGTGGTGTGGTTTTTATATTGTCGTTAGTGGCGCCGGACCTTCATTTGGGGCTTCCTGGATGACGGAGAGAAAAGTAGGGTACAGAAACGCAGACATACTCGGCAGTCTCTGCTTCCTCTATTCATCTTTTTCATCTCTGCCTCCTTTACCTTGCCCTTTCGTCTTCCTCATCTACTTCATGTACCACTCCTTATCTTCTGCTTCTAAATTTCTTCCTCCTCCTCGCTTGTGAGGAAAATTAAGTCTAGCTCATGAGGCTAGATATTTCTAGGTCACGTTGAAGGGCTGATGATGTATGCAGGAGGTGTTGGTTCGCTCTCCGGGAAATTGATTAACGACCACCGTGAAGAACACCTTTGTCCAGAGTATTATTTTTTTAAGATAAGGTAGAGGCACATGCGAAGAAAAGTTGTAGAATATTGTGCGGACAGTGATAGCAGGCGGGCTATTCTGTTTGCTGATATGCTTCTTGTGTGTATTGTTACGGTCTGACAGGAGGTCGAAGAGACGAGAGAGTGGGAAAAGATAAGGGGTCGAGGTAATGAGGGAGTGAGAGAGAGGGAGGGAGAGGGAGGGAGGGAGTGATGGAGAGGGAGGTGGCTAACTCGGGAGGGAGGAAGAGTGATTATGTATTGTCGATTTAAGGATTTTTTTTTATCCTGCCTGCGGCAGGCTTTCCTGGTGATTGCTGGTCCATGAGGCTGCTTGTCTCTCGTAGCCAGCAGCCTCATGCAGAAATCCCAACCATGATGATCCAGCACAAACTTGCCAACTTTCCCCCCATGTGATTTTGATGGTCAAGTCTGAAATATCTGTTGTTTCCCATAGTTGTTCAGGAGTTACAGTGTTTTATAATATTTTTTCTAGGGAGAAAGAATGACGAGGTGAAAAAGGAATGGAAGAGTATGGGATGGGGAAAAGGGAAGGGAAAGAAACGGGCACAGCTGAATACCTCTTCCAGTAGCATGTAGTGAACACCGATATGCCGCAACTCGTCACTATTTTATCTCTCGAGAGTAGTCAGAATTATTATCTGGTCATTTACTTGTGAATGTACACGAGAAGTCTCCCGACATCTTGACAACCCTCGTTGCTTGCAGTATAGAAAAGCAATGAGTTGAAGGCGAAGAACACTCGGCATTACACGTGCCCGGTCACCTGTAACATGTGGCTATTGTTCATCTTTAGTATGTATGCCTACTGTTGTGAAGAATTCATGTCACAGGCATGATGAATGATGGGACGCACGCGCTACACCGATGATGTTGTAACATGATTAATGACCAGACTTAACAGCTGTAACACTGGTAACGATTGTATAATTGTAGCACTGATAATCCCTGAGTTACTGACTGGAACCGCTGAAATGTTTACAGTACTTAACAATTGTCTGAATCACTGAGAATCTTAATTTTTCCCACCGACAATAAATTCAGATTTATCCAGTAACCTAAATGTATATATTTGTAAGCCCGCACCCGGCGTCATTTGCCATCTTTGCCATCTTTGATGCGCACTTCACACTTGCCATAAATCACTGAATATCAAGGCCATCTTATCAATTTCCCCCATACTCTGTAGGACATGACTTTGCCAGCCGTGTCTTGGGGACACTCAGGACTGGTCTGTTACCTCCCCCTTCCCGTCATCTTCCCCAATGCCTCCTGTTTAGTGAGGGAGCGGCTGTGTAGGCACAAGTTACAGGCCTAGTTATGAGGCCTCGTCCACACCTTGATCCACGCACCTGTCCTCTCGTCCACCTGCCCTCTCGTCCACCTGCCTACTCGTCCACATCCTGATCCACCCACATAAAATCCGCCCACCCCGCCACCCTTGACCTTCCAACACCATTGAGACAGTCGGGGGGAAGGGGGAGCCTAAATAAGCCCTCATCCAGCCGCCCTGGTATCGATCGTTCAGAGGGGGAGTGGGCGACGGTGATGCCGGCCCCGCCCACTCCGTCTACCCCGCCCACCTCGTCTACCCCATCTACCCCGCCCACCTATTAAGTTATCAGGCAGATAGTGAAGACTGGCTCAGCCTCCGTTTACTTCTCCCTTGTCATTACACGCCCACTAAACGGTGCGTCAAACAGACCCATAACAGAAGCAAAAGTTTCATGTGTACCCTGCTAGTACTTACCTAGATGTGCTTACATGGTCGAGCGTCAGCTCTGAAGCCCCCGCCTTTCCAATAAATAATAACTTCTCTCATTGCTTGCACCATTTTTGTAAATATCTATTGCGTTAGCTTCAATCGCTTTTTATAACTCATTCCAGTTATTTACTGAGACTGAGTTCAAACTTGTGTATATATAAAATAAATAAATCAATAAATACAAATCTTAACCATTCCCAGCCGTCGTTCACCTCTTACCCTCTCGTACCTGTTATAAGGGCGCCTGATAGCTGGGTGGACAGAGCTTCGGATTCGTAGTCCTGAACCCTCCATACCTCCCACCACTCCCAGAGTACCCACACAATGAGGCACATCACACATGCACAACAACAACCAAATTGCACAAAACACTTGCATGTCACTTAATTACCTAACCAATTTTAGTACCTATATTCCACCCTAACTACTCTTATGCTCATATTTGCTCCACCTCATCCCACACCAACCATACACTAACTCCACCCATACAATTGCACGCCACGGGAGACATCTCCCGTCACGCAGGGTGCAGTCGCACCTCCACAGATCTCCAGTATCAGCTCTTGATAATGGCTCAAAAGGGCCACCGCTTACGGGCTATTCATGCCCATACCACCTTTTGGGTGGCTTAATCTTCATCAATCATCAATCAATCAATTGCACGCACCACAACCAACCATACTCAATCGCCTGTATTTTATTGTACATGTGTACAAGGGGGAGAGGGGCATTTATGTTAAGAATATTCACAATATTGCACACTCAAGGGATGGCTCTTGCATAAGTTGCATAGAGTTTTGAAGGCTTCTTCGTCAAGGCTCCCAGCGGCCCTCCGGACACGTGCTTGTCTTGTGTTTTGTAAGTAATAACTGTGCATGATAACCCCGTGACCTGCCTCAAGTGGGGTTTGCGTCATGGGGATACATTTGAGACGTCTTATGCGTCGATACGTCGGCGTGATAAGTAGCATTGTTGTTGTTGTTATAGATTCAGCTACTGGGAACAAAACGTTCCAAGTAGCACGGGCTATGGTGAGCCCGTAGTGGATTTACTTGGCATAGGAGCGGGGCTGTAACTTTGAAGTAGCACCGTAGACGGTCATGAAAGACGGTCATCGTGGGGGGCAGACAGGATGTCTTAAACTATAGACAGGTATCACTGACGTATATACCTTGGGAGGCCCTAGATGCAGTAATCCGACTGGTCTAACATAATTATAATATTCTCTGACAACACAGTGTGTATATGCATATCTGAATTCATTTATTAATTAAATAAATGTTCCTCCCGGACTTGCCATGGCCTAGAAGGAAATTTGTTAGATCTTCAAAACAGGCTCAGAAAATTAACATATGTGTGTGTGTATGTGTTGTATATATGGTAGAGGAAAATAGCTTAGGTTACTACGTATGATAAATGACGGTTAATTAAAAAAAGGCGGGGTCCTAGAGCAATCAGCTCGATCCTGCAGCACAAATAATAAAAATAAATAGCAAACACACACACACACACACGCCAACCTCGACCTTTCGGTGTCATTATCTGATGGCACAATAAGGTGTGGTACTAGGGGGTACGTGTGTGCCTAGGAACCTGTTCATACCGGTATGAAGGCGGTGAGTTATGACACTGGTACCGGTACACTCCGGCTACACCTGGTATGGTAATGCTGGATCATCCATGCCGGTGTGAACTGATGCTGAG